GACACCGATGATTTTAGTTTAGAACCGAGATTATGGTTTAAAATCGCGAAAATTAAATTTTCAAATAAACTCTCAAATTAATTTTTGTTTTATTCAATACTACTATTTATTGTTATTATTTATTCAAGATATAAAACTAAGAAAAAAAATAAAAAAAATTTTGAAAAAATTATCTAATTTTGATTTCAAATTAGAACGGAACTGCAATTGGCAGTTAAAACCATCTTATAAACTACTTGAAAGTGTTTTGGTTTTATTCTTTTTTATAACCAGAATTTCAGTGATTTTGGAACCTTGGTCATACCTAAATCTAGGGATGAGTAAATGTCGGTTTGATTAGAACATATCCGAAACCAAAGCTGAAAATATAAAATCGAACTTTTCTGATCAGAATTGAATCGAATTGAAATTGTCACTCGAATCGAATCAACTCGAATTGGAATAATTAGTTTGGTCGATTTTGATATGTTTTAAGCTTGATCGATTAGTGTCTTTAAAACCAAGCCTAACTACTGATAACTTCAGTTCAAATTGACTAAGCAGGCAAACTTGAATCCCCTTTGAGTGGATTGACCAAACCAAATTGAAGCAGAGATAAAATATAAAGCGAAACTTTTCTTATTGAAATAAAATCGAACTGAAATTGATATGTAAATTGAATTGAAATTGATATCTGAACTAAACCGACTCGAACTGAAATAATTGATTTGGTAAACTTTGATCTATTTTAAGTCTAATCGGTTAATTTTTGTAAAACCAAGCTGAACCATCAATAATTTCAATACAAATTGATTAAGCCGACAAAATTAAATGCCCTTTGAGTGGTTGACCGAACCTAACCGAAACGAAACAGTTCGATCTTCGGTTCGGTCAGATGTTTTGCACCCCTTACCTAAATCTATGGATTTATATCTATCAAAATATCTATAGGTTTTTTAATTCTTGAATCTTGATATTTTTAATATCTCCATCCAAATATTATTATATATATCCAAAGGGCTTCGAAAAGTTACTGTTGCCATAACAGTGCTTTCCCACTCTGCCCTTTTATTATCTATTAATTACACACCGCCTTTTTATCTATTAATTAATTACTGTCACAACCATAATATAGTCGCCATGTGTAAGACAGTTGTTGCCATTTTACAATCTAACCATTTTATTTGCAATTAATTATATTTCTGCCCAAAGATATTTTTTCTTTTAATTCTTTTATTATTCTTTAATTATATTCTTACCACAATAATATTTTTCTCACTTAACCCTCATATTGTTTTTTCATTATACTTTTGTCCAACATTATTTTCCCACTTAAACTACTTTATTATTCTTTAGTTATATTCATGCCATAGCTTAAATTTTGTTAAAATTTATCAAATTAAATTTTTTTAATTTATATAAGTAAAGCTTAATATGTGTTTTTCGTTGCATTTTTTAAATGCATAATTATAAATTTAAATTTATAATAAGTAAGCTTTTTTAATTTATATAAGTAAAGCTTAATATGTGTTTTTCGTTGCATTTTTTAAATGCATAATTATAAATTATTGAATAGTTATTTTTTAATATATATAATTAATGTACCGTTGACTAAATGTGGACATTGTTGAAATTCAAAATTTTTGGTAGTTTTACGTACATATACATTATATGTATGCATATCTATTTATATATGTCAATTAATTATAAATATAAATGTCTTTAATGGTTATTTAAATTATTAATTTCATTAATAATCCATTTAATTGTTATTTTATTTTTCAAAATATTTAAAATTATTATATGATGACAATAAAATTGTATTGTAAAAGATTTATAATAAAATTGTGCCAATTAAAGCAAAAACACACATACATAAATTTGTAAGTGTATTTGATTAAAAAAATATTTTGCAGTGACAAATATTTTGAAAAAATAGCATTATGATACTGTATAAATAATTAAATATTATTGCGACTCCTTATAATCATGAGTGTACAGTGTTCATAATGTTTTCTATAAATTGAATTATTATATATGAAGTTAACAATTGTAAATTATCATATATAATATTTTGTGATATTATATTTCGTTATATTAATTATAACACGATTTTAAAATTATATTTAAAAATATATAATTCCGTTATATTATAACACGATTTTAAAATTATATTTAAAAATATATAATTTCCGTTATATTATAACACGATTTTAAAATTATATTTAAAAATATATAATTCCGTTATATTATAACACGATTTTAAAATTATATTTAAAAATATATAATTTGTGATAAATAATGAGGGGTAGAGTTACATACCCGTTTATTGCTTAAATTGAAAGTAGAAATCGGTCAATAGTAAGCAAGTCAAGTCAACAAGTAATATTGATTAGAAAACTGGTTCACTTTGATAGCAGAAACATAAGAATTTGAAGAGTCAATTATCAATAAATTTTAAACTATTAACACACATATTTATTTAAAATTTTATTAAAATATCCGTACATACATAAATTTTAAATTATCTAAATTTTAATTTATTTAAAATATATTTTTTATCAACTAAATGAGTAGAGGTATATCAAACCCATCTAATATAAGAGGTAACGACAAATAGATATCTAGGATTTTAAATCAATATCCCTAGCCGTATGTATTATTAATAATAATTTCATTATTCATATTCGTTTCAAATCTATTTATAACTATCTTTATACTTATTAAACGGATCAGAGTGGATACGTACTCTAAAATATCGATGCCACTTTTATTTCTATTCAAAAGAATTTTCCCCATTGCAAAAAGTCATGGATAATCTATCAAGCCATTTTTAAAACCACACATGTCTTTGTCTTAGCATTAATTGCAAGATTAAGATTTTCTGGTAAGACTCACTGCCGATAGATTATATTTGTAGTTGGCATCCGTGTAATTATATTTTTCGACATTGTAATGCATAAATTTTATTTTTATTAGATTGCCATTCAAACTTATAATGTTGAAAGTTTTGGTGACTGTAAATGGAAGCAAGTAATTGATTAGTCATTGATCTCTGGTTAGCTACAAGAAGTCAAGTTTGAACCCTTGTTTGTAGATTCTTGCTCACAACCGTGTTTTTTGTTTTCCAAAGACTTTTCTTTGTAGATGGGTTGGACACTTGGCATGACAGAGTCTATTAGACTTGAACCCTTATTTACTTAAGCATATATATTAAATATTATTATAAAACAATTTGAAATTAATAAATTTTATTAAAAACATCGGAAGAATTAAAATGAAATGACATTATTAAAATTAGTTTTAGCTTAGGGCTGCAGTTGTCTATCAGCGGTAGTCCTTACCTCCTACTTTCTATTATCTCTTTTACTTCACATTTTTTTTCTTTTAATCTTCTTTTGCTTTAATAAACTCAAATCTATTTTTCTTATTCTTTTTTATTTTGTTATTATTGTTTGTCTCCATATTTAGAGTATTTTTTTTGTCCCTTCTTTGGAGGATTTATTACTAAATAAAACTATAATATTTGATTTTATTTGGTTATAAACTTTAGATCTTAATTTGTAGTGTGGATCTTCGATCGATGGAGCCTGTTAATGCGACATGCTCCTCTATTGATGCTATTGACGTATAGCGGCGAAAACTTATATGTATTCATCATATGTTGCAAATTATTGAAAAAACAATTCAGTTATCGAAAATCCGAAGGAGTTATTATTTTGATGTCTAAATCATTTAAAAGACCAGTTGCTATTACAAAAGGTTTATATTTTTTGGTGAAAATCAACTCCAAATGGAAAGATTTAACATTATATTTTTTAGTTTTAGTTTCATTATTCAAAATTATTTCATTAAAAGATAAACAAACTCTATTAACTACTGATAGTAAATTCTATATCCGGTCTATATGCTTATATGTAATTCTTAATATTATTATTAGTAAATTTGGAAGAAGAAACTGCTAAATTATTATTAAGGTTAAAAAGCAATACATCATGAATAAAAGCTGGAGGGTTAGCGATTCACTCCACATGACCGGGCAGAGCTTGAGCTAAGAAATGAGCCGCTTGATTCGCTGATTTTTAAAAAAAAGAATAATGAAGTACATTTAAAAAAAATGACATTATTGAAATTTATTAAAATAAAAATCTTATAATTATTAAATTTCACTATAATAATAATCATTTAGTGAATAATTGAAATTAAGTATTATATTAACCCTTTATCTAGCTATCATTCAAGTTAAAAGAAGATACGAATTCAATAAAGGTTAATCAAAAAGATTTAAATAACAATAATAATTTTTATGTTGATAATATTATAGTGATTTTCAATGAATTTCGCATATGAAAATTTTAGTAAATATATTTTTTTAATCTTGCTGAAAATGTGAATTATTGAATAAAATTATTTAAATATAGATAACCATTACAAACACTATCAGCTAAAAGTTCTTTTAGCAAATTTGTTAAACTCCTTCAATAACTGCATGATTCTGCAAAATCAACTGGCATGGATGATGATTCTCCTTCATCTTTAGCAAGTGATTCTGCAAAATCAACTGACATGGACGATGATTCTCCTTCATCTTTAGCAAGTGATTCTGCCGGATATAAAACTGGCCTGGGAGGCAATTGTAAATTCTCTAAATCTCCTTCAAGCATCTCTATAACTTTGTTCATTGGAGGACGATCAGAGGGTTTCATCTGAATGCACCATAATCCTGTTACAATCATTTTTCTTGCTATTTTATTTTCCTCCTCTGTTGCATCTTCTATTTCCAACTCTCCATTAGATAGTCTGTCGTATCCTATTTCCAAACTCTCCATTAGATAGTCTGTCCGTAAACCCAAAATGGATAGTATACTTCACTTTAAATCAGCCGTTGCCTTGGCATTCAATTCTTCCTTCTTAGCCCTGCCATTTCCAAAGTTAACAACATTCCAGTAAACTATACCACACTCAGCTTTGGACGAGACAGCCGGCCGATGTTTTTGTAGAACAACTCCGGTGCATATATCCTATTGTTCCTCTAGCTGGCTGTAAGAGAATGCAAATGCTACCTTTTGTTGGATACAATTGGCAATGCTACCTTTTGTTGGATACAATTTGGCAAGCCCAAAATCAGAAATTTTCGGAGTGAAATTTTCATCAAGAAGAATGTTATGAGGTTTGATGTCAAAATGAAGGATTTGCATTTCGCAACCTCGATGTAGATATTGAATGCCACGAGCCACTCCTTGAGAAATCTGATACAGTTTTTCCCAACATAAACTGACGTATCCTTGTCGAGAAAATATGTAGTTATCAAGAGATCCATTCGATAAGAATTCATATACAAGAGCGCGCTTTGTTCCTTCAACACAAAACCCTATTAATTTTACCACATTAGCATGGTGAATTCTCCCAATTGTAGCAACTTCATTGATAAAATCTTGTCCATTTGCTTTAGATTTACCCAACATCTTTATTGCTGCAAATTGGCCGCTGCGAAGCTTTGCTTTATACACACAGCCAAAGCCTCCTTCACCCAGTTTTTCTTTGAAACCTCCAGTCATCTTCTTAATGTCTGAGTAAGCATATCTTATTGGCATTAGATTATTGTGACTCTGCAGAAATTCTTCGATAGTGTTGTATCCTGATAAATGCCTTCTTCTCCATTTATAGATCAGAAATGCAGTAACAAATGGAGTCCCACATAAACACCTTGCAGCAAGAAACATTGATCCTGCATGAAATTCATAGAAGCATTCAAGATAGACAAAATTTATGGCTTTGCCATCTCTTTTAACATTTCTATGTTAATGTTTCTTATATAATCTTACTTTTTTTCTTGTAGAAGAATGGAAAAAAAAGAAAGGAGTTCTTACCCAATTGCATCGATAGGAGGAATTCGAATAGGATATCCACTGGAATCATATACAAGGGAAATTACTAATATTACTATAAACTATATTGTAACAGTAATTATGTATACAGAGAGAGAGAGAGAGAGAGAGAGAGAGAGAGAGAGTGGGTCTTACAGAATTCCAAATTGTAATCGTCAAAGCATTGAGTATGAATTTTGGAGTGGAGGTAGCAGCTTCTGATGCCACATTTGTGTATACAGTTGACATTGAACCATGAGATCTCAAATCCAAATGCTAACCTTTGATGAATGTCAATGAAAGAGATATCCTTCTTCTTGATATTAAAATCTTTTGCTGCAGGAAACAAAGACACTGTCTCTATGCTGCATGAGTCCATCAAAGCAGATACTCTCAACTCGTCTATATTCAGACAAGAAAAGTATTGCATCTTCAAATGAGATCCAGAAGAGTCATTGGCTCCACTTTTAATGCAATAAGAAGCACTACTATCCGCATAACTAAGAGGGCGGAACACTTGATTTAGGCACTCGATGAAAAAAATTGGCTGCGATAACCTGCAGGGATATTTTTCTGAATCTGCCCATTTGTATTTGAAATTGGAATATGGTTGCATTTCATAAACATCCTCAAGTTCAGACCCATATAAGGGAAATTGTGGAATGGAGAAGTAATCCAGTTGATCAAGACCAGCATCTACTAATCGGATGGTGAAGTTATTGTAGTTGATTGCCTGCACGTAGTATCTTCCTTTATTTAGATACAGTACTGTAACATTATTTTCACAAGATAGGCCATACCTACGGTCTCCGCAGTTGCTTGGATCGGTTTCCAGCCGGAAAGGGTAAGTAATGTTAGAGATATTGCCACATGAAGAAGGGGCGCAATGACTGTTATCTCTACCATAACAGGTTTGGGGGAAGAAGACTACCAGGAAAGCAAAGAGTAGGAGCCTTTCTCTAGCCATTATTAAAGTAGTTTAATGAAGGATAATCTTTCTAAGTGAAAACAGTCCTAAGTGAAAACAGTCCAGAGGAACCGATGTACAGATAACAAAAAAATGAAGCATCTTTTGATATGAAATGGATATATCCATAGACTTTGACTTATGAGATAATAAAATATTATAAAACCTTTACCAAGAATTGGCAAGTAAAGTTAGTCAAAAGTAAAGTTAGTCAAGTCAGCGAAAAATATTGTTGTCAGTAGGGGCGGATCTAAGATGAGGCACTTGCCTCCACTGGTTTTTTACGGTTCAATTTTTTACATTTTAGTGTATATAATTTTGTTAATTTATATTTATTCAACTAAATTTTTACTTTTTAACCCCCCCACTAATTAGATTTTCTGGATTCACCCTCATTATTAGCTGTTAAATGTTAGGTCTGTGTGGCAAACCACAAAATTAACTGTTTTGATAATTATTAGCAGTTTTAGTAATGTTTACCTTAACCTTTAAAAAGTAGCTCAAACGCTATATTATCGAATGCTATTTTTTTTAAAAGAACAAAGAAATCATAATATTAACCAGAAATCATAATATCACTGCATGCTATAAAATATAGTCAAAACGCTAAAAGCTACTCAAAAAACTATGACTAAACAACGCCGTTAGATGTTATATGATAGTTGTTAGTTGTTTAAGTAGCAGTTGAAAACGGAAATATTTGGTAAAACAACTATTCACTTAGAATTTTGACTAATTCAAAACACTATATTCAAAATTTTATTGCCAAACACGGCCTAAGATTTTATCACAGCCATATCTTTTTAAATTTTTGTGAAAAGTGGTTTTATTTTTTTGATTGCCATTGGAATAAAACTGAGAACTTTTCCTTTTTTTTTGTTCGTTTAAAATTTGGTTCAGTGATATTCAAATTCATAGAATAATTTTACAGTTGTTTTGTCTTGTAGTTCTCAGCTGAGCATGTAATGAAAATTTATTAATAAAAAATTAATGAAAATTTATTAATAAAAAATTTAAAGAATAGAAAATAAATATTTTTTTGTTCGTTTAAAATTTGGTTCAGTGATATTCAAATTCATAGAATAATTTTACAGTTGTTTTGTCTTGTAGTTCTCAGCTGAGCATGTAATGAAAATTTATTAATAAAAAATTAAAGAATAAAATAAATATAGGTAGACGACAAGGGAAAGAGTAAATGATATGAAAACGTCAAAATGGGGTACCCATTTTTCCTTTGCCTTCTCCAACAAGGGGCAGGCAAAATTATAGAAGGAGAAAAGCTGCTTACTTTGAATTCCTAACCAAGGCAAAACTTGGTAGAGGCGACAATGGAGTTATTTATTAGAATGGGCTATCTTTATATATCTTTCTTCATTATAATTATCTTTGTTGACCTTGGATTATGCTTTAATGGTCATCCCAACTGCAAAGAATCAAAATGCAACCGCCATGGCCCCGCCGTCCGATTCCCCTTCCGAATAAAAAACCGGCAACCTGATCACTGCGGCTATCCTGAATTTGGCTTCGATCTATCTTGCACAGAAAACAAAGAGACGATGATCCAACTTCCAGATTCAGTTGAACTCTTAGTCAAAGATATCGATTATGTTTCTCAAGTAATTTACACAACCGATCCACAAAATTGCCTTCCCAAACAGCTTTCGAATTTCAATTTATCTGGTTCTTCCTTCCGGTTTCTGAACGAGGATTCGAATAGCTTTGTCTTGTTTAAGTGTCCTAAAGGAAGCAGTGAGTTTCTGCAGATGCCTTGTGCTAGTGCTAACGAGTACCAAATTAACGTCTTTTCTTCAGGCATTTCTATTGATAATGTCGGTTTGTTATATTGTACGAAGATGTATGATGTTTTGCCATTTCCAAGTGAAATGATTGACGGAGGAGGTAATATTCTTCATTTGACTTGGTATAATCCAAGTTGTGGATTTTGTGCAGCGCAAGGTAAATACTGCAGATTGAAGGCTAATAGCACTCAATTTGAGACGGAATGTTCTGGCAAGCTTGAAAGTAAGTTTCGGTTCTGCAAATTTTGTTTTTCAATTTTTCTATAATTTTGAAACATTTACATGGGATGGAAAGAAAAAGATTTGATTGTTGGATCAGTAGTGTTAAGGGTATATGCCTATAAAGTGTTTGTGATTTTGTCTGTGATATAGAAAGGGTTAAATAGCAAACACATAGCAATTATAGTTGTTGAAGCTTTTGATAAAAAAGTTCATGTATTTCAAGAACAGGGGGGAAAAAAAGATAAAATTAAAACACTGAATAGTTAATCATTGCTGGAGATTATTCTATTAAAGGTTGAACTCTTGCCAGATCTTCTCTTACTAGTAGGTTTTTGCAACTGTAGTTGTTGAAGCTTTTAGCAAAAGTTTGTGTCTTTCAGTAAAAGGAATAGAACAAAAGAAGTTGAATTGTTATCATCAAACCTGTAATCTTTGCTTGGGATACTTGCCAAAATTCCTCATACCAGAAGCAAGACACAATCTATGACGAAATATATTGATTATGTGATACAAGCTAATAATATTAATATCTTTTGCAGGGTCGTCTACAAAATTCTTGGCTTTAGGTTAGTCATTTAGTGCTTTTAAGTTTTTTTGGTTATTATGAATCCAAAAGAATAAAAATTGTTATTTTGGATATTGTTATTGATTTGGAATGTTCCATTTGCAGGTATTGTTCTTGGTTTGTTTCTTCCAGTAGTAGTGTTGTTGGCACTTTACCGGCTTTATATCAATGATAAAATAGAAAAAGAATATCAATCCAAGATTGAAAATTTTCTGGATGATTACAAAGCCTTCAAGCCGACAAGATATTCATATGCTGATATCAAGAGGATCACTAATCAATTCAAGGAGGAATTAGGTGAAGGAGCTTATGGAACTGTATTCAGAGGAAAGCTATCTGATGAAATTACAGTAGCCGTTAAGGTTCTCAACAATTTCAAAGGAGATGGAGAGGAGTTTGTAAATGAAGTGGGAACAATAGGAAAGATACACCATGTAAATGTGGTACGCTTGGTTGGATTTTGTGCTGACGGATTTAGACGAGCTCTAGTTTACGAGTACTTACCAAATGACTCCCTAGATAAATTTATCTCTTCTCCAGACGACAAGAACCATTTTCTTGGTTGGAAAAAGTTGCAAGATATTGCTCTTGGCATAGCCAGAGGGATCGAGTATCTCCACCAAGGATGCAATCAAAGAATCCTCCATTTCGACATAAAACCGCATAATATCCTTCTTGACAACAACTTCAACCCCAAAGTCTCTGATTTCGGCCTGGCTAAGTTGTGTTCTAAGGATCAAAGTACAGTTCCAATGACAACAGCTAGAGGGACAGTTGGCTACATCGCTCCTGAAGTTTTCTCAAGGAACTTTGGGAATGTTTCTTATAAGTCAGATGTTTATAGTTTTGGAATGTTGGTGTTAGAAATGGTTGCAGGAAGAAAAGTTATTGCAGAAGGGAATGATGACCAAATATACTTTCCAGAATGGATTTATAACCTTTTAGAAGAAGGAGAAGACCTTAGGTTCGAGTTCGAAGAAGAGGAAGATGCTAATATAGCAAAGAAACTTGCGATTGTAGGACTATGGTGCATTCAGTGGAACCCAGTAGATCGCCCTTCCATGAAAATTGTTGTTCAAATGTTGGAAGGAGGAGACAATTTATCGATACCTCCTAACCCATTTAGCTCTACAAAGCCAATGAGAACGTATGCAAGAATCCGAAGAAGACATCTTCACCGTGAAATGGCGGTCATCTCAGAAACAGAGTAATTTTAAATAGAGATAATCTGTTATTAGCTAATTTGATAGTGATCATGTAATTAGAAACACAATATAAAGAAACAGAGCCAAGAAAGTTGTGTTCTTATGATTTAAAATGAATTTTCAATCAAACTGCTAGATTCTGAAAAATCAACTGGTAAAGAAGAAGACTCTTCTTCTGCATAATTTTCCGGACTTTCATCTGCACTCATACCAGACCTTGGAGGTAATTGTAGACTTTCCAAATCACCTTCAAGCATCTGTATAACTTTATTCATTGAAGGTCTATTACTTGGATTCATTTGTATACACCATAAACCAACCACAACCATCTTCTTAGCCATCTTATTTTCCTCTTCTGTAGCATAACCAATTCCAACATCTTTCTCATTAGAAACTTCATCATAAACCCAAAATGGAAAGTAACTTCCACTCGAATTTTCGTCGATTACATTCAAGTTCTTTCTTTTACCTGCAATTTCTAGTAACAACATTCCAAAACTATACACATCAGCTTTATATGAAACATGTCCAATGTTTCTGTAGAATAATTCCGGCGCCATGTATCCTATTGTTCCTCTTGCTGCACTAAGAGATTTAATGCTACCATTTGTTGCATATAACTTAGCAAGTCCAAAATCTGAAATCTTTGGAATAAAATTTTCATCCAGAAGAATATTATGTGGCTTGATATCGAAATGCAAGATTTGCATATCACAACCTCGATGTAAATATTCAATGCCACGAGCTATTCCAATCGAAATTTCATGCAGTTTTTCCCAAGTTAAGGATATGCTTGACCTTCCTTGAGAAAATACATAATTGTTAAGAGATCCATTAGGCATGAAATCATATACAAGAGCATTCTTTGATCCATCAACACAAAAACCAATTAGTTGAACTACATTAGCATGGTGAATCCTTCCAAGGGTAGCAACTTCACTAATAAAATCCTGACCGTTAGTTTTAGAATTATTCAATATCTTTATTGCTGCAATTCGACCACTACGGAGTTTTCCTTTGTACACAGAACCAAAACCCCCTTGGCCTAACTTGTTCTTGAACCCTTCAGTCATTCTCTTAATGTCTGAGTAAGAATACCTTACAGGCATCAAGTTATTGTGACTCTGCAGAAATTCTTCAACTGTGTTATATCCTGATAAATGTCTCCTTCGCCATTTATAGATCAAAAGTCCAATTACAAATGGAGTTCCACAAAGAGTTTTTGTTACACAATGGAGTAGTACTGTGCAGCAATCAAAATAGAGATCATTAGTTGCTATCAGAATAATGGTTATTTAAAGAAATTTGAATCAACATTCAGAATTTGAAGAAGAGGTGTAAACTCTTACCAAGAAGAACAACAACTGTTGGGGTTGACACTGCAGGAAATTAAAAGAAAAATAGTACAGATGTGAGTAGTTTTAATCAGAATGAAAAACTACAATTTATAATATAAAAACAGAAAGATCTCTCTCACCTATAATTCGATAAAAGCCAACATATGCAGTGGATGAGTCTGCATTGATCAAGCAAACAGTAAGATTAGCATCAAGAAGACATTGAAGTAGCAAACAAAAGGTTCTTGATAGAACTGAAACAACTCTTTCCAAAATTACTCACTGAATAAGTATTTGCATCCAATTCCAAAGTTGAGGTAGCAAACTCTCGTGAAATAATCTTCAACAAGAAAGATTAATAAATTTGTGTAAATTTAGCAGTTTTTATGGTCATTAATGAACTGTGTGAAAGAAAGATAAGTATTACTAACCACTTATGCACTGAACCTTATTTGGGTCATCAAAATAGCAGCCTCTGCAACCCCCACAGTAAATATAATGCCAAGAAAGCTCAAACCCATAAGCCAGCTCCTTATGGATTTCAATAAAGGACATGTTCTTATAATCCTTATTAGGCAACATAGCCATCATCTCTAAGCTACAGTTACTCTTCAAATCTTTGGCTTCCATGCCACCAACATTCACATACAAATGCTTCGATGGCGCTACTTCTTTATAATTAGTACAAGAAAGAGTTTCCACATAAAGAGGAGAACTTACTTGGAAAGGACAACTTATGAAAGTTAAAATTGGTGGTGATTTGGATGCATCATAATCTGAAAATTTATGGGTTGCAAATGGATCTTCTAAACTGAAATTATATATAGTTAAAGGAAAGCGAGGAAAGGAGGCACAATCACCTTTCTCAACTCCAGAATCTACCAGTCGAATGGTGAAGTTATCGTAATTTATTGCCTGAACATAGTATTTTCCGGAATAAAGATATAATATTGTAGTATTTTTCTGACAGATTAAGGTATATCTATGGCTTCCACAATTTTTTGGATCTGTTTGAAGTCGAAAAGGGTATGTAATGTTCTGAAGGTTGCCACATGAAGAAGGAGCACAAAGATCGTTTTTTTCACTCTTGCTTTTGCAAGGTTGGAGAAGAAGGAAAAGGGAAACGAGGGAAAGGAAGAGGAGACTTTCTTTGGACATGACAACGGAGAGGGTGTTGTTTCTTTGTAAAAATGTAATTTCTTCTGATCTTCAGAGAAATTATGAGAGAGGAATCACATTATAATATGATTATATGGAAAATTCCATAGAAATAAAGAAGGGTTAGAATATGAGAATTCTCAAGACCTCAACTTTGACCAAGGTAGATGGACACTCCCCTGGTGTTTTTTTTTTTTTTTTTTTTTTTAAGGGTAGAGATATGAAGAAATTCCTCAAGACCCTCAAACTTTGACGCAAGGTAGATGGACATCCTGGTGTTTTTTTTTTTTTTTTTTTTTTAAAAGGAAATAATTTTTTTTTTTTTTTTTTTTTTTTAAAGGAAATAAGACACTTCTATTAAACCGTTGGATAAAATTCAGAAATACAATCTGAGATCTCATCCCAGCGATCATGACGATGCTCTAGAGCACCCATATTAGCTTATCGATGCATCCATTTTATAAAATGAATATCCAAGAGCAAGTACTTTGAAATTAATGGCTATCTCAAATAAAAATAGAAAATTTAATAAATATAAAAGTTTTTATAAAAAAATTATATTTATCTAAATATTTTAGTTCAATTAATAATTCTATTAGATTTATCAATTTAATATTTTAGCTCAATTAATAACCTTTAATTCAATTAGGAATTTTATTATTTTTATATTACTTTACTACAGTCATAATTTATATTTTCATGTTCACTGAAATTATTTTTACAAAAGAAAACATTTTTAGAACTATAAATATGGTTGATATAAATATAGAAAAAAAAAAATTTTGACAAATGATGTGAAGCTATTCAATTGATTTCCTTTTTGAAAAAACATAAATAATATTTAATTCCTAATATGATACACATACTGAAATAATAAATAAAAATTTAAATTCAGAGTGTTTCTCATTTGACTTCAATTAAAAATCATTTAATTCAATTAGAAATCATATTATGTTTATCATTTTATTTAAGCTTTGTTAGTAGACCAATCAATGTAAAAATAGGGGTCAGCAATTAATTAATCAAATCGAAATAAATCGAATTAGCTTAATTTTGTTCTATTTGAATATTTTTATGACAATAAAATTCAGAATTGAAATATATAAAAATCGATCTAAACTGAATTAAATTGATTTATTTCAATTAGTTTCGAATTAAATTAGCTGGGTTTAGTTTAAAAATGAATTTAATTTATATATAATAACTGAATCAAAATCGAAAATAAAACAATTTTACGTATTCAAATCAAATTTTCAAGATACTATTTGAATCCGACCAAAACCAATCGGTTTATTTCGATTTTCGGTCAGAAAACAGAGAAGTGCTGACCCGGAAAGAAAATAAATAAATAAATATATAACGGGATAGTATGAATAAATTTTCTTGTCTTTAATTTTCGAAGCAGAGAAAGGAGTGTTCGGAAAAGTAATTTGTTTCGAAATAAAAAAACAAACAAAAGAAAAATCAAAGATGACTGACTACGACGGAGTAGGTAACGAAGGTAATGGAGCAAATTTCGAGGTGGAAAACAGCGGTGGTGTTAGTGGTGGCTCCTCTCCCCAGCCTCGCCCTGGCAGCCACAGCCGTAGCGGAGCTGACGATCACAGTGTTTCCAAATCTAAGGTAAGATTGTCGACAAGTGCAATTAATACAGCTATAATAGACAGAAATTCTATGTCTATGCTAGTTCAATTTAGGTTTGATAAGAGACAGGGACAAAACAGATTGCAGGCATTTTTTAATTTTAGGGTTTTATTTTTATATGTGCTATATGAATTTATCATTCTTATTATTTCTTGCCTAAGTGTGTGTACAGTAGAAGTTCTAGGCTTTTAGGTTTTTGTTCAGATGAGACTTAATGGAGTTTGAATTACCACTGGATAGAAGAATGCTTTACTTATAGTTATTTCTTTTCCTTATGTTGTTATTGTTGTTGCTTAATCAATTGTAAGAAAATAGTCGTTAGTGATTGTTATGAAGTCAGGTTTGGTTCTGATTTGTGGATTTGGTGCTGAGTTCTTCTGTTAGATATGTTAAGTGAAATGAATTTATTCACTTAATTATGTTAATTCTTGATATCACGTGTTCTTTTTCTGCTGGTAAGATTAAATGACTATATCTTTATGTTTTGTGATTATTGTAAATCACTTATTTTCTGGAATTGGGCTTGTATAATTTGTCAATTGCAGCTTGCATCTCATGACTATACAAGAGAGTCTTCAAAAAGTAGAGAAAAGGAAAGAGAAAAGGGTCATGATAAGGAGAGGGATCGATATCGAGATCGTGAGAGAGACAGGGACCAAAATCGTGAGAAAGAGATCGACAAGGGGAGAAGCAGGGATAGGGATAGGGAAAGGGACCGAAACAAGGACAGTGACTCTGACCATAAACATCATGATCGCTACAGAGGAAGCGGTGGCAGAGATAGAGATGATAAGGAACATTACCGAAGTCGGGACAGGCAATAACATTTGAGCCATTTAAAATGAATTTAAATACTGTTCCATTTTTTCATGTTTTCCATTTATTGAACAAAGCATTCATCATTAATTTTTTACTGATATTCACAGACATAGAGATTATGGTAGAGACAGGAAAGACAGGCACAGGCATTCACAATCTCCTCCAACACGCTCTCGATCACGTTCGACAAGGTATGCTGTGTTATATAAAATGTTGGGGATAACATTTGTATGCTTATTGTTTATAGGGATGCTTGATATTCACCTTTCTTTTTTATCTGCAAACTGTATCTACTTGCAGCAAAAGGATAAGTGGTTTCGATATGGCTCCTTCTCCATCTGCAATGTTGACTGATGCAGCAGCTGCTGCTGCTACAGGTACATGTACCCTCTTTATATAGTTAAGATCATAGTACTTTTGACTTCTGTTTTTGTTTTTGTGCGATCTAGTGTGGAAAGTTCGTATCAAATTACATGATGTGATTTTGGTAAGCAGCATTTTTGTTCTTTTATTTGTATATATAGCTACTTAAGAATTGTGTTCTCTAAAAGGCTGTACTCTTTTTATATGCTTACTTGGCGAAATAATTCTGGAACTGAGAGATATTTTGGTTTTTCTTCTGTTTGGTGTTTGTTTGTTTGTTTTGTGTCGTCTTTTGTTTTGAGAAGGCAATTGGGGTACTTGACCCACTGTGCTGACAAAAACAATGGTCGTGAGCCGACTTCTGTAGCTTTTATGTAAAAGGAGGAATCAGAAAACGGGTAATAGTTCTTGTTCGTCTTCAACTGGCAATTATTGCCTGGCTATGGTATCTACAGATGTTACCCCCAGAACTTGAATTTAAACATTCAATCTTTTTTTGTAAAAAATTGTTCTGAGTTAAGACATAATTATTCCAATAGAAAACAATGGAAGAATTAATTTTGGATCTTAACTACTTTAAACTTTTGATTTACTCTTATGCTCTAATTGTGATAGAATTACTTTTTCAGGTCAGAATCCTACAACAAATCCTCCCATTCCTGGAATGTTTCCGAACATGTTTCCTTTAAATTTTGGGACTGGTCAGGTATGTTTTCTCCTCATACACAATATATATACTTATCTGGATCCTGTGATTTACTAATTTTGTATCATTTGTTTACCTGCAGCAGTTTGGTACTCTCCCTGTTATGCCAGTTCATGCAATGACACAGCAGGTTGGCAGGATGACTGATACATCATATTTTGCCTTTGGAACATCTTTCTTGTGCATTAGCGTATTTTCTTGTTATAACGATCATATGATTCATTTTGTTGTTTCAGGCTACTAGGCATGCCCGACGGGTCTATATTGGAGGGCTACTCCCAACGGCCAATGAACAGGTTTTTCATTCTGTCTGTTTCTCCCTTGGTCAATGATAATTGATAAATCTGGTTGTCATACTAATGCTCTCTCCTGCAGTCTGTAGCAACATTTTTTAGCCAGGTTATGGCAGCAATTGGAGGTAACACTGCTGGCCCAGGTATGCAGTATTTGTCGTCATTCAGTATAACTAGACGACACACTTATTTGGAATTAGCTAATTTCTTTTTGTTTTCTGAAGGGGATGCTGTTGTAAATGTCTACATAAACCATGAAAAGAAGTTTGCATTTGTAGAGATGAGATCTGTTGAGGAGGCTAGCAATGCAATGGCTTTAGATGGGATCATTTTTGAGGTAATTATGTATTTTATTGGATCACCATCTGGAACTCTGATCTGAAGCAGTCACTGCTTTGGCTGCTGATCTATTTTTAATCTTTTCAAAAACTATACTTCCAGGGTGCTCCTGTCAAGGTGAGGAGACCTAGTGACTATAACCCATCCCTTGCTGCAACACTTGGTCCAAGCCAGCCCAGTTCTAATCTTAACCTGGCTGCAGTTGGCTTAAGTCCTGGCTCTACTGGTGGACTTGAGGGTCCAGACCGCATCTTTGTGGGTGGGGTCCCCTATTACTTCACTGAGGCACAAGTCAGAGAACTGTTGGAGTCTTTTGGGCCCTTGCGTGGTTTTGATTTGGTAAAAGACAGAGAAACTGGGAACTCAAAAGGCTATGCGTTTTGTGTATACCAAGACCTTTCAGTTACGGACATTGCTTGTGCTGCCTTGAATGGAATTAAAATGGGGGATAAAACTCTCACTGTTAGGCGTGCCACCCAGGGTTCTAACCAACCTAAGCCTGAGCAAGAGAGTGTACTATTGCATGCACAGCAGCAAATTGCATTGCAGGTGAATTTACACATCGTTCCGCCTAAATTCCACACTTTCACTTTCTAGACTAATTATCCATTTATTCCTTTTTCTTTTTTCCTTTCTGTACTCTTGGTCATTGTATACTGCTTACTTTATTGAAGCTATTTTTTTTTCTTCTCTCTCTTTATGTATTTCTTTGTTTTTTCATTATCTTTTTTTTTTTTTTTTTTTTAATTTTTTTTTTTTTTTTTAAATTTTTGGCAGAGACTTATGTTACAGCCTCTCCCTACTAAAGTTGTGTGCCTTACCCAAGTGGTTAGTGTGGATGAGCTCAAAGATGACGAGGAATATGAAGACATTTTGGAAGACATGAGAATGGAAGGCGGGAAATTTGGTATAATCTTTGAGCTGACCATTTATTTTCTTTGCCACCCTCCTTTTTCACAACCTCTCTTGTGGGCTTCTTACGTGGAATTGATTTTTTTGTTTTCTGTGCTATATGTCCGTTTTACAGCATTTTGTAGTCCCATGATCTGCTATAAAGAATCAGGCCTAAGTGCCTAACCCCCAGACAGAAGGCTTCATTACCCTCATTTATCTTTACCTAGATCTTTTTCTGAAATTACTAACAGTACCAACAATAATAATAAAAGCAACAACAATTGTAATAATAATAATAATAATTTGGATTGTAGTTTGCTTCTTTTCACACGATACATGCAGGTACATTGGTGAATGTTGTTATTCCTCGCCCTAGGCCAGATGGTGAAGCCTCACCAGGAGTTGGTAAGGTGAGTATGTGTTCCCTTTTTTTTTTTTTTTTTTTTTTTTTTTTTTTTTTTTTTTTTGTGTTGCATTTGCCCTTTTTTTCCTTTTTTGATTGGAAAATTCTTAAGGATATTGTTTGGTGAGCTGTATTGAAACCAAATGTAATATTATCAAAGGCATTTCTCAGTTGTAATTTACCAAAATATCAACCTAATTATTTTGAGGCTGGTCATCGATTGCAAATTTTTTTTTTTTTTTTTTTTTTTTTTTGTTGTGCATTTGCCCTTTTTCCTTTTTTGATGAAATCTTAAGGATATTGTTTGGTGAGCTGTATTGAAACCAATGTAATATAATCAAAGGCATTTCTAGTGTAATTACCAAATATCACCTAATTATTTTGAGGCTGTCATCTGATTGCAAATGTCTTTACTTTAAGGTTTTCTTGGAGTATGCTGATGTTGAAGGTGCCATGAAAGCCCGAGCAGGGATGAATGGAAGGAAGTTCGGTGGGAACCAAGTTGTAGCTGTCTTTTTCCTGGAAAACAAGTTTTATCAGTGTGAATATGATGGGTAAAGATTATTCTATAGTGATGATTTTGCATCAGCCATCAGGTGTTCTATTAGCAGAGGACTTATAAATTAATTAGAGTATGAAAATTTACTGTTGATGTTAGCTTGTGTTCTCTTCTTCCTTTTGACTTTTATGTTGCTTTTTTAATGGAGTAATAACAGATAACGATTAGTATTGAACAATACAAGTTGAAATGGAACATCTTGTTATTCTTGCTAGTATACGTCTGCTTTGCCTATTCTTGCTATTACGGACTCGAGCAGATATAATGACTTTGTTATTATAGACTCGGAGCAGATATAATGCCAAAAGATTCATATACTGACCGCAAACGTCTACTTATTATTGTTGTAAACACAGAAGTGAACCCAGTTGCCATACTTGTACCAGGAACACAGTTTTCATACTTATACCTGGAACGCGATACACTAGTACCAGGATCCCGTTTCAGGAACCCAATTTCCATACTCTAACCAGGATCGTGGTAGGCAGCAGAAAATTCTACTGTAGAAACGCCAAACGCCACGGAAAATTCTTGTAAGAACATACAAACATCGAGTGTCATTTAACTGCTAGCTGCCTATGGCCGATCATAATCGACAAACCAAACAGGCCCGATCCTTCTTCCAGGCGGAGGCAACTTAAAACCGCAACAAGGACAAAAACGACTCCTGGTCAACCACAAAACGAGGCATTGATGATGAAATACATGCAAGCAAGGCATGCATGTAACCAAACATCCATGGGGTAATTTCCCCAATCAAGTACAGCAAAAACCCTCTCTACGCTCTTTTCCATTATCTACAAATCTCCTTTCTCCAATCCTTTAATGGAAGACATGGCCGCAGGAAGTAACTGCTAGTGAATTGCTCAGCTGTATCTTCTTCTTCATCACCATCAACTATATTATAATTTGTAACAATATTGATCATAATATTCATAACCCACTTCTTGTTTTTGCTAAAATTATTGTTATACAACTCCAAAATTTCAAATGTATTCCATTTTATTTTGGAACTAGCTAATCTTCTTACGTTGGGTTCTAAGTCTATGGAAGAAGTTAATAAAGCTGATATTATTTTGACTATTTTCTCTCTATCGTCGCAAAGAAATCGTTCTTGGTTAGAACTATAGGGTTTGACATGATTTGGGTTGGTGACGTGCTGAGCTTGGAAGAGTTTTGAAGTATATAATAGGTGGAGAATTATTCTCTTCAACGTCGAATCTTTCAGGTTTTATTTTTACTCGTAGGTGGGCGCCGATAGCCATGGTGGTTGTGTTTGCTAGTGTTTCAAAGAGACAAAGACACAAAGACACGAGATTGACACTGATTATGAAGTTACAAATTTTACATCAAACTTAGGTCTCCAAGTATGAGATTGACACTGATTAGGAAGGTCATATATATTCTAGGACTTCTATTTACCACTTGCCAAGGTGGTGATTTAGCCATCTACTTCTCAATGTTAATACTAGAGAATTTTCACCGACTTGGTGAATAAAAAAAAGGGTTACGTAATTTACAATATTCTTTTAGCTCGTTGGTCTCCCAATGAATAAAAAGAAAAAGAAAAAGAATCCTAATAAATAAAAAAAAAAAAAAGAAAAAAGAAAAGAAAATATCTAACATGATCAATAAATAAATAAGAAAAATATATATACAATTTCTAATGCTTTATATGGTTATATTCTTGGCTCTATAAAATCTTCTTATTCTAAATTTAAAAGATATTTATTACATATAACAAATTATTATATATTTAGAATCTTAATCAAAACATGAAGTTATAAATTTGCTATTCCATATCTAAATTTGAACCAAAGTTATCAACAGCTATTTTAAAATTTTAACATATGAAATTTATGCATGTCCTAGAAGACAAACTACTGGAATATTTCCAGAAGACGTGACCAAAAAAATAACTCAAGGGAGAGATAAGTGTGATAATTTTCAGTTAAACACGAGGAGCAAAAGGGAAGAAATGTTAATACTTTTATTAGTTGTATAAGAAATCTGTATAAATTAAAATTCCATTTCAAAGAAAGAGTAAAAATATAATCATGCATAATAAAATAGACAACCACCCTGTCGATGCATACTCTTTATATACAGAAGAATTCTCTAAATTCAGGGCAATAACTTTGTAAATAGTATCAACTAGCTTACAAAGAAAAGAAGCGCAGTCAATACTGTACTCTATTGAATCTTTACTTTCCTCAACTTATACATCAATGACTCTATTGCTTTCTGTACTCTGGTACCATCTGTCTGCCCCAGTTCTTGAGATGCCTGCCGCAAATTTTGGATCCCACGACCCAAACTGGCAATTGAAGGGGCTGCTGGAAGAGATTCAGCAGCACATTCAATCCCATCTCCATACATAAGCAACCCCAAGCAAGTTGAAATGCTGCAACCGAATGTCATAAAAGGTAAGAACCCAATGGGTTGCACCCGTCGTTTTCTCATTATCTCATAGAATGCTGTTCTCATGGCTGAAAAACTGGTCTTCTCAACAGAGGCTATAACACTGTGGGCTACTGTTCGGATTTTCTCAGCAGAAGCAGCCGCTTTTAAGATAGGTGTAGCATTGGCTCCAGTTTTTGCCAATCCTGGGGCAACCACTTTTGATGGACCGAGAGTCTTGCTTAGAGCTATTGCCATTGCCTTCTGGGTTTGGGTTAGTGCAAAATTAAATGAAGCAGGCAATTTAAATGTTAAAACCTTCAAGAATGTCGATGTGGGAACCACTTTACTTAGAGATGAAGCTCCTAAAACTGCTGTTGCTCCCGCTCCAACTGCCACCACAGATTTATCAGAAAACAACCATTTCTTGCCTCTTTGATTTGAAAATTCCCCATCCATTTCACAATTAGTAATAAGATCACCAACCAATTCTTTGACCTCTGGAGGCATAGAAGTGTCCCAGTTTTTCCTTAGTCCTGCTAAGCCACTAGCATCTACTAAAGCTACAATAGTCTTAAACTTGCTAGTCTGACTTTGAAGGGACTGTGCGAGCAGTGCACTTGACTTGTCTTCAAGTGTAAGCTCTGAAAATTCAACCTTAGTTTTGTTAGACTTCCCCAAGCTTTTGATAGGCAATCGACCAGCATTATTTAGAGCAATTCTAAGCCCCTCAACCGCAATTCGAAAGGTGTAAACATCAGATATAATTTGGGAATCAACAGTTTCCCCTCTACTTACATCATAAAGCATCTTCTGTGAGGCAGCCAAAGCCCTCCCAATTGATGGAAGATCAATGAATATATTATGTAGATCCAAAAGTAATGGAAAAACAGATTGCGCAAATGGTGGCAACTGATAACTGCTTCCCAAATGAATTTCATCTGATTCTGCTTCTGAAACAATAGTTGAAGGACCTAATTTCTGCAAAGATGCATCCAAATGTGAAGACAATATTTTCACCATCCGTGACTGGATATCATCCTTAAGGCCAAACCTCCTAGAACTTGATGAAAAGATTGAACCCACTTTTTGTGGAACCAGACTACTAACAAAACTATGAACCTTGCTCCCCACATCGGCCTCACTAGATGGATTGTCCACAGCAGATGCTTGAACAAGTGGTGTTTCTAGCAACAAAAATGATGAACCAACCTCCCCAGCAGCCCTCATAGCTGCCATGATATGCCCATAAAAACTAACCCCAAATATTTCCTTTAACACCAAGTTTCCAGCCACATTTTCATACTTATCCTTATTGATCTTATGAACAAAACATCTTTTCAGCACTCGAAATGAAGAAGTAGGAACTGGTTCATCTGCATTATTTCCATATTCCCCTTCTTTTTGAATTTCACTTACTGCAGAAGGAGACACCTGAACCACAACAGCTTCTGGTTTAATCGCCCTAATAAGGCACTCAGCATCTATCGCCGACCGTTCAGATAAACTCTGAACGGAAAGTATATAAATCACAGATTGAGATTCATGATCACGAACTGCATAAACGAATCTCTTAGTGTTCTCAGGTATTGATAGTTTGCTAACTAATTCATTGGAAGCTTTCAAATCATCAGACTTCAAAATTGATAAAGGCCACAGATTTTGAAGGCTATATATAAATGCCAGTGCCATTAAACATTAGGGACCTGTTCTTCCAAGAAAACCAATTGTAAGAATAAATAAAAAAACCACCGAAAACCAATCCAAAACCCTAAAAACAATATTAACACTAGATCAATAGAACCCTAAAAAAGAAGGCCGCATCATTAACAAAAAAAGAGAAATCAATTAGGGCAAATCTTTCTAATGAATAAAAAACACACCAGATAAAGCTCTCACAAAAAATAAGAAAAAAATCAGTGGCATACCTCTTATTCACGCCAGAATCGAATCAGAAACAACGAGAAGTAATTTTCCCGAGAAAGCGACAGAAAACCAGGAAGAAAATTGGAGAGGGTTCCAGAATCCAGAAAGATAACAAATATTAGTATAAAGAAGAGTTTTGTTACAGTTTTCCTCAGCACAATTGGTGGTAGACTGGAAACGAAAACTCAGGGTTGAGAGAAACAGAAGATCATTTCATCTACAAAGACATCATTGCCTTCTCTAGAGGCGATTCCAAAATCCAGCACTGTACAGTGTATAGTTTGATTCCAAAATCCGAACTTCAATTAAAGGGACTTCAAATTAAATTTTACCGAAAAGTTAACGCAAATAAAATTTGTAGGATTAGGGCCTGGGAGTTGGACTTGTATTGGGCCGTGATAGTCAGGCCGAAGTCCACTTATATTTTTAAAGCCCAGCCCAGATTGAACCGAAGCTGTTACGTCTACCACTTCTTCTTTACATGCAAACCCGCCACGTAGAGGAAAATTTGGCGCTCTCTCTGTCTCTCTCTCCCTCTTCTGTCTCTGCTTCATTGCCTCTTATTCTCCGTATCAGAAAACCTGACAATGAAGCCCGAGAGCCTAATTGCGTCGGCGGCTATTAACTTTGGCCTGGCCTTAATAGTTCTTTCACTTTTCTCCGTATTCAAAAAACAGCCATCAAATGCTCCAATATACTACGCTCGTCGTCTCTCCAAAAAACGACACATTCCATTTGATCCCTCTATCACTCTCTGTCGTTTCCTCCCTTCTATTTCTTGGATTCCTCGCGCCTTTCGAGTCAACGAAGATGAAATTCTCCAAATCAGTGGCCTGGATGCCCTAATCATCATCAGACTCTTTAAATTTGGGTCAGTATGTAAAAATTAAGAACCCAGTTCAAGTTTAATCAATGAGGCTTTGTTGAAAGAGGTTTTTATATGTAAGTAGTGTTTGTTTTGCAGTATCAATTTCTTTGGAGTTTGCTCGCTAATTGGTTTCGTAATTCTTCTCCCTGTTAATTATGGAGGAGAAGATGAGCCATCAAGGGTCTCCCTTTCCTTGGATGCTTTTACTATATCTAACGTTGTTAGAGGTTCCAACAGGTTAATTAGATTTCCTGTATATATACCTTAAAGTTTTTTTTATGTCTCAAGTTTTTGTTTGTCAACATGTTTATATTGTTTTATAAGTTAGTTGTCTTAGATTAAATGCAATTGGATCACTAATTTTTCTTCATTTTGATAGGCTTTGGGTGCATTTTTCCTGTCTGTGGTTTGTATCTTTCTATGGATTATACCTGTTGTATAAGGTAAGTTTTTGGTTTGATTTTTGCTCTTTTTGAAGAAATATTTTATTTTGAACGTTTCTATTTTGTATCGTAGAGATTATCTGACTTATATTGGTGCATCATTATTGCAGATTTAATGTTTCTTCTCGGTATTTTGCATTTACTATAAGTTGAAAGAAGAATTGACTTTGTTCTTCATTTATTTTCATTTCCAGGAATACAATGAAATTTTGGTTAAAAGGGTCCAACGACTTCGGGACTTGAGATATCGACCTGATCAGTTCACTGTTCTTGTTCGGCAAATTCCTTTATGCACTGAACACAAGGCTTATGGGTGTTCTGTTGATCACTTCTTCTCTAAATATCACCCTAAAACTTATCATTCTCGTCAAATGTTATATGATGGAAAAGAAATTGAAGATCTGTTGGTAAGCTTTGGGTTATTCCTAATGTCATACTCCTATACAGGACAAAAAAAATTTACACATTCATCTGCTTTTTATGCTAATATAATGTAGCGTATGCCTTTGAATGGCCTTACTTGTGAATGTGCCAACTAATTCAAACCTATATGGTACTTGGGTACTATTTGTGCATCTTTTGGACCCTTGTTGAAATTTAACATTTAAAGAAATTAGTTGTTTCATAATTTTTTTTTTTTTTTCCAATTGTCTGCTGCTCAGTTAAAACTTGGAACTCATCATATTGACTCATGGAATAGACTATGAAGGGTCAATAAAAATCTATTTAGCACAACATTATTCATTAACTTGCATCTTTTTGTAATTGGGAAGATATCAGTTCTGTTCTTTTGAATGCATAAGCTACTGGATGCTGAAAAGTATTAGTTGCTATTGTTCTTCAAGTTATTGTTTTTCGTTTGCTGAGTTCATCTTTTGACATTTGTACATGTAGAAACAGGCAAAACATGTTAGAAAGAAGATTGAGGACTTGCGAGGGAAATCCCCAGTCAAGAAGCATGGCAAAGAATGTTTGCTCAAAGACACACCTGGAGAAGATAGTTTCAAAATTTTGTTGCTTGAGGAAACAGTTCAAGAAATCTTTCATAAGATTCACCAATTGCAGGGTGAAAATATGCTCAAAGGCAAGGTATTTTCGGAGAAATTTAATTAGATCTTATATTATTTTGCGCCCCCCCCCCCAGAAGCATGGCAAAGAATGTTGCTCAAAGACACACCTGGAGAAGATAGTTTCAAAATTTGTTAGCTTGAGGAAACAGTTCAAGAAATCTTTTTCATAAGATTCACCAATGCAGGGTGAAAATATGCTTCAAAGGCAAGGTATTTTCGGAAGGGAGAATTTTAATTAGATCTTTAATTATTTTGCCGCCCCCCCCCCCCCCCCCCCCCAAAACTTTTAGAACCCCCCCCCCCCCCCCAAAACTTTTAGAACCTAGTTCCAAACCTGTTTGTGGTTATACACAAGCTTTACGTACTGCATATCGCATGTTAGATTATAAGCTAGATTTCTGGAAATCTGAGCTCCTCTCATTTTGTAGGAGTTGCCAGCTGCCTTTGTCACCTTTAAATCCCGATGGGGTGCTGCATTAGCTGCCCAATCTCAGCAGCACCCACATCCGCTTTTATGGATCACTGAGATGGCTCCAGAACCAAGGGATGTCTCTTGGAGCAGCCTGGCAATTCCATTTAAAATTTTGCCACTTCACAAAATTGGAGTTGTCGTTTCAGCATCACTCCTTACACTTTTCTTTGCAGTTCCAGTTACAGCTGTTCAAGGAATAGCCAAATTTGAGAAGTTAAAGAAATGGTTCCCTCCGGCCATGGCCGTAGAGCTGATGTAAGGACTCTTGTTCTAATGCTGCCTGCTTCTTTTGGGCACTGTGAATATGGCTTCAGAGAAGCAGCAACGTTTTTTCAGTTCCTACCTATTTCGGTCCCTAGTTTTTTATTTCTTGAATAATTGATAATGAACATAATCAGTATAGTTGGTAGAAACATGTTTAATCATATGGATTTCCGACACAATGTTTCTGTGATAGACCAGGAGTAAGTTCTATTCTGACAGGTTATCTTCCAAGTGCTATTCTCAGAGGATTTATATATGTTGTTCCCTTTGCAATGCTTGGCATGGCTAGAATTGGTGGTTCCATCTCAAAGAGCAAAGCTGAGATAAAAGCTTGCAATATGGTTTTCTATTTTCTATTAGGAAATGTATTCTTTTTGAGTTTGATATCAGGATCCTTACTTGAAGAAATTGGAGAATATTTCTCTCATCCTAAGAACTTTCCTAGTCATCTTGCAAGTGCTGTCTCTGCTCAAGTAAGCTCAATGTTCTTCATTACCACACATTACTTTCTAGATTTTTTTTTTTTATTTTATCTGTCAAATGATTCTCGGCAAATCTTGAAAAACACAAAGACTTGCTAAATTGAACAGATACTAGTTCTGGTTTTACAGGCTTGACTTCTTATTTATTTGCATTTCAGGCTGATTTCTTTATGACGTACATCTTAACAGATGGCCTGTCAGGATTTTCTTTGGAGATCCTTCAGCTTGGCATGCTCTTATTGGATTCTATAAAGTTACACACATCTGGCCGAGGAGACAATGAAAATCCTTATCTGTATTCACTGCCCTACTATAGAATCATTCCTTCAGTCTCCCTGTCAATACTGATCGGCATGGTATATGCTGTTGTCGCGCCATTGCTGCTTCCACTGCTTGTGGGCTACTTCTGTCTAGGCTACATTGTATATGTCAACCAGGTTGAGTTCCTTAGTATATGCATTTCTCTCTGCACTTCGTGTCTTCTTTCAAGCCTCTTCATTTCTGAAAGCATGTTGAGTTATTTTGCTATGAACAGTGTAGCTTTCTTTTTTATCCTCTACTTGCCTCCACTCTTGTAATTGCTTGACAAGGTTAAGCACCACCCTACCATTAAATTTCTGAAACAGGGAGTATTTTCTGTAGATAAGTTGCAAATCATGCTTTTTGTTGGTTTTCCTTTTTATGCTACACTTCTTTCCTTGCTAACCTAGCCATTTCACCTTCTTATGATCATTTTTTTTTTCTGCTTTAGCAGATTGAAGATGTATATGAAACTGTTTATGAGACTTGTGGCCGATATTGGCCATACATCAATCACTACATATTCATTGCTATTATCCTAATGCAAATTACAATGATTGGCCTTTTCGGACTGAAGTCGAAACCAGCCACATCCATAGCCACAGTTCCTCTCTTATTAATGACTATAACATTCAATGAGTATTGCAAGATCCGTTTTCTTCCTACATTTTCCCATTATTCTATCAAGGTATATTGAATTGTACCGAAGCTTTATAAAGTATTATGATTGCTAGAACATGCTTCGATGATTTTTTTTTTTTTTTTTTGAAGCATTTTGGATTTGCTAGAAACAGCTTCGATGATTTTTTTTTTTTTTTTTTTAATGAAAGCATTCTTTGTGTCCTGTTTCTTTTATGTGTTTTGGGGTCAGGATGCTTTTGATCATGATGAGCAAGATCAGAAGATTTTTTTTTTTTTTTTTTATGAAGCATTTCTTTGTGTCCTGTTTCTTTATGTGTTTTGGGGTCAGGATGCTTTTGATCATGATGAGCTAGATCAGAAGACTGGTGAGTTTGAAATCAACTATGAGCATGCAAGAAATGCTTATCTCCAACCTAGTTTGCGGAGAGCAAACTCGATGCCATCACAGTCCAGCTTAACGCAAGCATTGGTTTCTTCAGTATGAGTTAAGTTGAAGTATTTTAGCAAAATTTGTTTTTTCTCTACTTTTCTTCTTTTCTTTTGTATTTGTTCTTCCTTTGTACAGTTTATCTAAAACTTCTTTCTTGTGAAGAGAGCATAATTGAAGGGAATATTAGAATAAGAAGAGGGAGATTGTTGCTGTTAAATAGGAATATTGGAAGGGCAAATTACTATGAAATCGAAAGTACTATTTTGTTCATATTTTTTTTGGAAAGAAACCTCTGAAGTTTAGTCTTGTTAAACTAACTGATTCTTTTGTCAAAAAAAATACTATTTTTGCCAGTTAAATGAAGGATGAAATAGTAATTTAGTAGTAAGCATGAGAGATTAAATGGTAAGAATATATTAAATGTGATTAAATAATCAAGTATTATAGGATATTTGATGATGAAAATAATCTCTTTTAGAAAGGAAGAATAGTTAAGTAGTTTAATGCAATGCGATCGAATCTTAAGAGAAGATTTTTACAGATTTCACCAGAATTCTACAGAGTTTTATGGAATTGGTGAGATTTTTTTTTTTTATAGATTTTGGTCGATTTCGATGGAATTACAATGATCGTTATATATCTAATCAAAATTAATTTTAGGACTTAATTGAACAAATTAAAAAGTTTTGGAATCCAATGAAAAATTAAAAAACAATGAGGGACTAAAAAGAAAATGCATATCTTCTCCAAAAATTAATTTTTTCTTTGTTAAAATCTTATCGATGGCGACGGTGAAAGGCTTGCGATGTAAGGCTTGCGATGTCAGTGTCGGCGGCGGCCATCCTGCACTCCTATTAACTTAACTGCTATATGAGTTCCGTAGTGGGTATTTTATTCATTATTAATAAAAAAAAATGACATCTAGTGTTAGTAAAAAAAAGTAATGTATTTTAAATAAATTTGAAATTTGAATAGTTAAAGATTCGCAGTAATTCTATCTATTTAAGAGGTACTTTTTAACATGTTTTGGACAGATACGGGTATTAAATATTTAAACAGATTTGAATATGGATACTTAAATAAATTTTTAAATGGGTTTAGAATGGAAACGAATAGTAAAACTTTAAACAATATCTATATAGTAAGTTTAAAATTCACGGGTACCTGTCTTACTTCCGTTCTATTAAGGTGTATATTGGATTAGCACTCTATTAGATTTTAAATGATTTTTTGAAATATTTGGATTGAATGATGAATTTGTGAATAACTCTTTTATTCATACCTAATACTCTAAAATTTAACAAAATCAATAATTTTAATCCTTTCAAATCAGCAATTTTTTGAATACCATAAAATTTGTATGGACTTTTAAAAAATCATAATTGAATACCGTCTGAATTTTATGAATTTTATAAGAGTATGATTTAAATACTATAAAATTTTAATAGACTTTAAAAAATTCTAGATTGAATACTATTGAAATTTTAAAATCTTTTAAAATCTAACGAAATCTTACTTCCATACACCCTCTCTTAGAAATAAAATTATGATTTTGATATTAGTTACTTCATAATGATTTGCCTATATTAGCAACCTTCCATTCATAATTAATATTATATCCATATTAGAACAACCACCTTCCATTTTTCAATCATCGCCGTATTAGAAAAACCTCCTTCCATTCAGGAGGAGGGACCGGAGGAGTTCGAGCCTCTCAAACTCAAAAAAGTTAAAAAAAATTTTACATAAAAAAGTTAAAAAAAAAATTTACATATAAATAGTGTAAAGATTTTTTTTTTTTCTGATTTGGTCTCCGTTGATTTTGGAGTCTAGCTCCGTCCTTGCTTTAAGTTATAATTAAATGACAAAACCCTAGTAGTATCGGCAAATTTAGAAATTTTATTTTGTAAATGGGAATAGTAAAACATATTTACAATATTATTTTATAAGTGTTATAATAATTATTTGTAATATATAAATATCATATATTGCCTTGGCTTTGTTGTCTCTTTCTTCTTCCTCCACTTCCCTTCCAATTCTTCTTTAGAACTAAAAAAAAATATAAAAGAAAACCCTAGGTGAATGTCCACTAATATAACAAGGTGCAATTTTGCTTGGCCTGCCTTAATTGGCTGCTTAGAACAATCCATTGCCAATGAGTCCAATTGCACTTTTCATGTAATGGTCTTTTTTTTATTCAACTAGAGAGGGGAGGGATAAAATTGAATTAAAATGTATTTTACTTATCATGTTAATTGTGTTTAAAACAGTGAAATAATATAAAAAATTAATTAATATATCTTATTTAGTAACATATTAAAATACTCACTAATATATTTATCTTAAAAAGTAAAAAATATGTACATTGCACCTTATCCTTATATATAATTAATTAATTAATTAATTAATTAATTAATTAATATATCTTATTTATTTAACATATTAAAATACTCACTAATATGTTTATCTTAAAAAGTAAAAAATACGTACATTATAATTTAATAATAAATACTCCCTCCGTCTCATTTTATTTTATTTGCTTGTTATTTGTGTTTTTGGATGTCCCGAAACGTTTGTAAGGTTTCTAAAATTAAATACGTAAATAATTACTTTTTCATAATAATATTTATGATTATTTATTAAATGAACAACTTTTATTAATATTTTAATGAGTTAGAGCGTAAAAAATGGCAAAATAACTTTTATTGACTAAATTCTTAATATGCGTGTTTTATGAAAATGCAAACAATATGAGACGGAGGGAGTATAAGAGATTAAATAATAACATTATACAAATGCTAAGGAGGACAAAATAGTAAAATATTATAAAATATTAAATATCAATTATGGAAAGATTAATAATCTTGAAAAAAAATTAAACCTCAAAAGAAAATTAATAATTCTGCCAAATAATGGGAATATATATACCTAGTTACCAAATTTTTGAATCTTATTGTATCCAAATCCTCTATATAAGATGCTTCATTTCATACCCTTATTTTTATTCTACTCAGCTTCACTCTCTTCTTCTTCTCCTACCCACAAGAGAGCTCCATTAAAGATTTCAGTTTTTAAGAGATTTTGAATAATTTTAGCTTCTGGATATTACACCAATTGAAGTCTCTTCAGTTGGTTTCATTTTTGTTTGTGATTAAATTTTCAAGGAGCTTGGTGAAGGTTTTCAAGAGTGACCCACTTACTCCGATCTTATATGGTTACTCCGGCAGGACTTTGACCCGTTTACGAGGATATTTGACTCATATCGTCAGATGGACTCCGCCTCCGCCCCCATGCTCGGTTCGTTAAGCTCTTCCGAAAATGCTAAGGTTATTAACTCTTCTTTTCTTAAAAAAAAAAAAAAAAAAAAAAGGTTCGTTAAGCTCTTCCGAAAATGCTAAGGTTATTAACTCTTCTTTTTCTTAAAAAAAAAAAAAAAAAAAAAATTAAGTCCAAATTATGATTTAAAAAAAAAAAAAAAAAAAAATTAATTGTCCAAATTATGATCTTTTGATTGAATTGGTTTTGTTTTTTTTTTTTTTAATTTTTGTCTTGTCGAACAGCAAGTTTTTGTTTTGGACTAGTTATAATGTTGAAGCTCTTTTATGGAGAACTTCACATATCATGTGATTAAGGGTAGTTTTTGCATTAAAATTTTGTTTTCTCCGAACAACTTATCAAATCGAAAAATCGAAAATTTGTATGATCAAGAGAATTCAGAACTCGAAACATTCTTTCAATAAAAATTTTTAATCCCTCAATTTATTTAGAAGGATAAATTGCTATTCTAACAATATGATGAGAAATATTTCCAAAAAAAATATATATGATAAGGAAATATTTTAATTCACAAGTTCAACGTGCATGGCTTCCTTTTAGCGAAATTAAAATAAATAAATAAACAAACAAATTAATAAGTTACATAAAAATTAATCAATTTACTAATTACAATTACTCCTACCTCTTTTCTTGAAAGTACAACTACAAACTCAAGCGAAAGAAACATCCGACCAGACAATTTTTTTTTTTAAATAAAAAGTAAAAATAAAATGACATATTACAACAAATAATACCGTCACCCGCACATGACTCACATCACCAATCTGATGCTTAAATTTGATTGGCCAAAACCTACTACAAGTATGCCTGTTTTGGTTGACCCCACACTTTTAACATGCAAATACGATACGTGATTGGACCGTCACCTCCGCCAAAAAGTCGTTTTCCGTTAACTAGAGAAAAATAAAAATAAATGAATAAGAATAATAAAAAGGCGTCTTCCAGCACCATTTCCACCTCCAGGCCGTGTGATGTAAATTCAAAGCAAGTGAATTTTATTAATTTTAATTTAATAATAATAATAATAAAAATTTGGCATTTAAGTTCTCTATCATTCTCTTTCTCTCTTAGCTTTGTCTCTGCATATTCTTCGCATCTCTTCAAACTTTTCTTTCGGAATTCAAATTCTCGCTTTTGGAATTGGACTCTCTTAGGAAACAAGAGAGAGAGAGAGAGAGAGTTAGTTGAATTCTGGTGGATCTGGTCGGGAAATTTCACCGGCGGCGAAGAAGAAAGTTTTGGACAATGCTCCATTAAGAGAGAGAGAGAGAGAGAGAGAGAGAGAGAGAGAGAGAGAGTTTTTGTGTGTGAAATTTAGGTGAGATTTTTTTAATTGTAATAGTTTTGGTTGGTTTATTATTGTTTTGCTAGCTTTAACACGTATTTTTGCATTTTGGCGACAAGATCTGATCTCTTTTTTCATCCAGTTATGGTTTTTGGATCTGTGAATTGGTATTTTCTGTGCAAAAGTTCAGTTTTTTTTTTTTTTTTTTTTTTTTTTTTCTTTTTCAGCCTGCTATTTAACCACGATTTGCACTAATCTCTTGAGGTATTCAAACACTATTTGAGTACGAGTTACAAGTAGAATGAATCTCACTTATTTCTAATTACACTAATAGTGCACACTAGCTTTGACCATAAGGTTATTTGGAGGATCTGTGAAATTGCGTAATTTTTTCTGTTTGAAATGTAGTCAGTTTTTTTTTTTTTTTTTTTGTTATATTTATCTATTATTTTTTTGAAGTTGAATCTGAATTTGGAAATTTTTATATATTATTGAGATCAGAGGATATTTTGAATATTTAGTTGTTAATGCGTGCTTTCTTATAGTGAGGAGATATGAATATTTGTTTTTGTTTGCAATGAAGAATGAGTTTGGAATTGCAGTAGTTATTAAGGCATTGTAGCTGTGTAAGTTGATTTTGAATATTGAAATCTATGGAATTTTTACAATATTGGTATATGAAGTTTATTTTATGCTTATTGTTTTTTTGATAGTTTTTGGTATTTTGATTTCCTGGCAAGGTTTTGAAAGGAATTTAGTGTTAAACAATATAAGGGGTGAACCAATGAAAACTTGGGTTATGGTGAGAATTTTAGTGGCACAAAGGTCTGCCATTTTCGAAATTTGGTTTCCCCCAAAAATGCCAAAACTATTTCAGAAGCTTATGAGCGATTATAAAGACCAGGGTATCATCATAAAACAACGGTGCCCTCAAATTTCCTCTTGGTTGTTGGTGATTGCTATCCCTTGTTGTCTACAGAGGTATCTCGTATTTATTACTTGATCTTAAGCTCGCGTATATCATTTTGGATGTGGCAAATATTTAATGTGCACTTGTTAGTTGTTATCTTTTAGATTTTTTGGCCCCGTTCTGCAGCATTCTATACTATTGAAACCGGGCAGTTTTTTTTTTTTTTTTTTTTTTTTTTTGAAGTTGATCTGATTTGGAATTTTTTATATTATGGATCAGAAATGATTTAGTTGTTAATGCGTGCTTTCTAGTGAAGATTGAATATTTGTTTTGTTTGCAATGAAGATGAGTTTGATTGCAGATAAGTTGTAGCTGTAGTTGATTTTGATTGGAAATCAGGTTTTACATATTGGTTATGAGTTATTTATCTTATTGTTTTTTGATGTTTGTAGATTCAGGTTTGTGGAAAGTGTAACAATATAAGGGGTGAACCAATGAAAAACGGGATGGTAGAATGCAGTGTCTGCCATTCGAAATTGGTTTCCCCAAATGCCAAAACTATTTCAAGAGCTTATGACCGATATAAGAGCAGGGTATCATCAAAACAACGTGCCCTCAATTTCCTCTTGGTTGTTGGTGATTGCTTCCTTGTTGGTCTACAGGTATCTCGTATTATACTGATCTTGTCGCTGTTTCATTTGATGTGCAAATATTATGTGCACTTGTTAGTTGTTATTCTTGATCCGTCTGCAGCATTCTATATAGACTCTTTTTATGTTAGGCATATTATGATTGTAAGTGCGGGTTGCCTCATTCTTGACCCATTTTTACGGCTTTTCTAATAAATTGGGAGAGGGCTTTACAATAGTTCAGTATAAACTCTAAAAGACATTTTTTAATGATCTTATTTCTTTTTCACATGGAAAATGTTTGATATGACTTGTGATAATTTGAACGAGGAATTTATTTTGAGCCTTGGGTATAAACATAGACTAGTTGACAAATCAATTACGCATTCCTGTCAAGTTTTAATTTGCTCAATAAGTGAATGATTTGCGCATTATTCAATTCCAGAAAGGTAGAATGACACTAGGCTGTTCTAGCTTAGCCTCTAGTTCCTATACTTGCTTGGTAAGCAAGTTATATAATGATTTGCTGATTGACCAGGTTGATTTCAGTGATTCAAATATTGAATTTCCCCTCATCATTTTACATATTTAACCTTCGAATGTTTCTTGGTTTGAGATTTTATTCTGGTTCTATGTAAAATGACCTAGGAACTGATATGATTTCTTTGGCAATTCTCGTATCTTTCCCGGAGTCCTCACGTTAAGTTTACTTTTTCTGCCAGCCTATTTTGGTTTATATGTCCAAGGTGGATGGGAAATTTGACTTTAGTCCAGTCAGTGTCAACTTTTTGACAGAAGCTGCGAAGGTTCTATTTGCAGTTGTTATGCTTTTTTTCCAGGTAAATTTGATTGTTCTGTACCACGTGATTTTGGCTGATGTTCATCTTCATTATTCAACCATGGGGATTCATAGATAGAATGTCATTGCTTAGCCTAGTAATATCAAGTGTGTAAAAAATGAGATTAGCCACCTCATGCAGGTTTTTTTATTGAGATTACTCAAATGATTTTTTGTTGATTGTACAGGCAAGGCACCAGAAAGTTGGAGAGAAGCCTCTTCTCTCAGTTTCTACATTTGTACAGGTACTATTTTTTCCCGCGTACATTATTTGAGTTACATTTAAAATTGGTAGTATAGAAAGGTTATTATGGTAAATGCTTTTATTATTAAACACTGTTCACTTCCTATAAATGCAAAATGCATCCGCTTTTCCACATATAGATCATTTGAATTATCTTTTGTAATTATTTGTTAACATTTGGAGAAGTTACAGTTCTTCTTAGGTAGAAGTTTACCTGCTAAATAGCTATTGGCTAGTGGCAGATTTATATGGGAAACTAAATATCATGCCTCCCATTTTGGCTTTAATTGATGTTAATATGATAATGGTATATACTTGAAGAGCTCACAATTAATAACCTAAGTGATCACAAATAGATAATTTGATCTTATAAATGTGGATGTACACTGGAATATTGTCCTTGACTTTGTATCTATGTTCTTTGTTGCTGCCCTATAGGATCTGGTAGAATTTTTATTTTTTTTCCCCAGAAAATTGTGTTGATGGTGCACTTAGCATTCAAAATCCTATTCTAGAGGTTGTAGGTTGGTAATATGCTGACAGCAAGGCTTTTGCCTGCCATGATCTGCAATGAGATTTTAGAGTTATATGTTGACATTAAGCTAAAAGTTGAAACTTGTCAGTTACTATTCTACCAATGAGTTGTAATTGTTTTGCAGGCAGCTCGCAACAATGTTCTTCTTGCTGTTCCAGCTTTTCTATATGCCATCAATAACTATCTAAAGTTCACCATGCAGGTATAGGACATTTCATTTTTCTGCTAGAAGTCTGTCTGTTCCATGCATAAATAGTTGCTAAGTTGCATTTCCTCTTATTTCTGGAAATTGTTTGGGTTATATGGATTTAATACGTTATCTTCTTTTGAATGGAGCAAATGCATGGAGGAAATGAATGGAGAGATGATTGGTTTTGATTAGAATTAAGCCCATAACTAAATCCCAAATTGTGTAAAGGTTAGCAACAGTGGATGTATATCACGGCTTCATATATTTATTTCCACTTTTTTAATCAGTAAACACAAATCTATACTCATAGTCATAGGCGTCAAGGGAGGTTTAATCTGCTTATGCTAGCAGTATATATATAAGAACAACCTGAATGAGATTTGTCAACTATCACTAAGATTTAAATGATCATGTTCAAATTCCCTTCAGTAAAATGTTGAGCTAGCGACAGTTTCTATTTTCATCTATTCAATGAGTAAGATTCCAAAAGCTTGCAAATTTTTTTCAAGGAACGAAATTTCATGTTTCCTTATGCCTAATTCTATAATAGAACCCTTCCGAGTGGGCTCTCCACCTTTACTTGCTCATTATGCACTTTTTTCCTGAGAGTAGCATAGACTAAATTTTCCTATGTCTACACTCTAGACACATCTATGTACCAAGGGGTATGCGTGTGCTCTCTTTCTACAAGAATTGGCATTTGGGGATGAGTGTTCAGAATTGTCAAGTTGGAGCAACATCTATCAGCCTCTTATGCAATGATGGAAAAAGTAATGCAGAAGAAAACCTTAGGAGAAAAACGGGGAAAATTAAAAATTTAAAATTACTAGTTTAACTGTTTGCATCTCTAAAGCAAATTAATGCCAACTTTTTAAATGAACTTAAATCTCTGAAGCAGATAAGGAATCTATTACATCATGATGCCTATGATAAAAATGTGGCATTTTGTCCTCAATTATTAACTTTATCCAACATCATTATTCAATCAAAGATACATAGCTTCTAATGATTATTTGTCAACAGTATGGCACTTTTTATATGACCAGGTCCTGTATGACTGCTTTGCTGCTTAGTCTAGTATCTAGCTTATAGGCTTGGACATTACCTTGGGTTATTTTTGGATATTGCCTTGGGTTATCTTGGGAAACCAGAAAAATTGAGTTAGCCTTGAATATAGAACCTTTTCCCTTGGATATCTTTTCATAATTTTATAATCTGTGCTCAAATTAGATTGTGAATTTTGCATTTTGTATTTCAAGCTTGGCTGAGATGAAGAGGATATGTCTTTTGGGTTGCCAGACATCCCTTAGAATTGCTCTACCTGTGGTTGCTGGTTAACCATAATTAACTTTCTTGGTTCAATTTATATATAGTTCACTGTTGCAAGGATTGAGGGTGTAAATGCTTGTTTAAAGTTGATTAAGATAACAATGACTATTTATTGGTGCAGCTATATTTTAATCCTGCGACGGTAAAGATGCTGAGCAATCTGAAGGTATTTTGTGATTCAGGATATTTATTATTGGTGATTTGATGATATTACTTGGCATATTGCTGTTTCTTGTCTGTAGAATTTCATTTACCTCATAAGCAATAATATTTTGATCTTCAGCGGACTTCTAATTTTGTTTCATTGATTTAAATGTTTGTTCCTCATTTGTACTATCCTCCGCTGAAAATGTTGCAATTTTCATGGTAATATGCAGCATGATGTGATTTTGCTTCCAGGAGTTGTGCACCTTTTATTTTCTTTGGATGCTAAATTTCATGATATTATTAAACTTGTTTACATAAACAAATATATTGCACCTTTTTAGCTTTGATGTAGTTGAAGTGTATATAGGAATTTCAGTTGTGGATAATTGTGATTAGTACAATCATTTGATGGTAAATAAATGCCTATTGAGCATTGTGTCATGAAAACTCTTTGGCATGCATATGTCTTACACATCAAACTGTGTTGATATACCTTTCTTGTATGGCTGGATTTATGAAAGCAAAAGGGTGCTACTTGATATGGGAGCAAGATAGACTAGGGGCTAGAAGGCTGTTTTGACACCTTATTCAAATGGCTTTTCTTGGATTAGTTCATTGAGGAACTGCTGTGACAAAATATCTGCTAAAGTGGGATGAATAATCTGTTTCCTTGTCTTACAAATATGCTTGTAATTCTCTTACAGGTTTTGGTGATTGCTTGTTTGCTAAAGATAATAATGAGGCGCCGGTTTTCTGTACTTCAGGTTAGTTTCAAATTATAAATGAATTTATAATGACCAGGATTGGCATTTCCAGTTTGATGAGAGTCATCAATGTACTCTTTTGAGCATACAATGTTGAATTTCATGTTTGGTAAATATTTATTATTCTGTAACAGTGGGAAGCTCTTGCATTATTGCTCATTGGAATTAGTGTAAATCAACTACGTTCTTTACCTGAAGGTAGTACGGCAATGGGCCTTCCAGTTGCAACGGGTGCATACGTTTATACGTTGATCTTTGTAAGTGTTTTATGTGTTCTTTGCATGATAGTAATTCCTGCTTGTTGAACACATTTGAGAATTGCAGTACAAGTAGTTTGGATTCAACTAGGTTTTGTATTCTTAAGATTTTTTCTTTAAAATTTCTGTGCTTGTTGGAAGCTTATTTAGCAATTCTACAGGTAACTGTTCCATCATTGGCCTCAGTCTACAATGAGTACGCATTGAAGAGCCAATATGACACAAGCATATATCTTCAGGTGATATTTTAGGGTTCAGCATGTTGGTTTTTTTTTTTATGTCGAATCAAGTAAATTACATAGTTTTTAGAGAGATCAAATTGAGAAAGTACAATCTACCTGGAATTAAACCTGCAACATTGAAAATTGAAGTCAGTAAGATCCTAATTTTGACTATGCTTTTGGCTTTCAGAACTTATTTTTGTATGGGTATGGCGCCATCTTCAATTTTCTGGGAATATTGGCAATGGCCATTGTCAAAGGTATGGGCATGGATCTCTGTTATTATCAAGAACAATGTCCTGAACTATATTGCTATCCTATGTTTGATCTGTGGCTGTCAGTTTACATTGCTTTTTCATGGAGTTCATTGTGGGCTTTGTGTATACGTGGAGTTAGGTTTCTACTTGGGCTAGTTTGCTTGTGAATATTGGGAAGGACGTGTAATTATGGACTTTCTAATTTTGGGAAATTACTTGACCACATCTTTATGTCTATGTTGCATTTAGTGGGTTTCGTGTCATGTCTTTGAGTTTTTTTATGTCTGTAATTCCCATAATCAGTATCATTTTGTTGCACTTCTAGCCAAATAGGATAATCATTACTTGCAACTTTGATGGAGTTCTACTTGTTTTAAGGATCCTACTTCGACCAGTTGTTGTTCCATTATCAATGTGATATGCATCCTGACATTGAAATTGTATCACATGGTCTTGGCATTTATGTACTGAATGAATGTTTGCAGGTCCTAGTAGCTTTGACATCCTGCATGGTCATTCAAGAGCTACCATGCTTCTGATATGCAACAATGCAGCTCAAGGAATATTGTCGTCTTTTTTCTTCAAATATGCAGGTCAATTTCTTTAATTTTGTCCATAATGCCCTTTGCTTGCTATATGTTTGATGTCAGTCTTTGCTAATAACATGGGGAATATGTCTACTTGTATAAACTATTCACAACAACCTTCTGATTCCCACTCATGGATTGACGGCATCATTTGCTGTGTTCAGATACAATATTGAAGAAGTACTCGTCAACAGTTGCCACAATCTTCACAGGCATTGCATCTGCTGTGCTGTTTGGCCATACTTTGACTATGAACTTTTTGTTGGGAATTTCTATTGTGTTTATCTCGATGCACCAGGTGACTTTTGAGAATTTATTAACTTGATGAATCATTTAAAGTTTTCAGGCAAGGAAAAGATTTAGGAATGTCCATTTTCATTGGGTTTCATTTATCCTTTCAGTTCTTTTCATCCCTTTCAAAAGTCAAAGATGAACAGCAGAATGGAGTGGCGGAACTAGTGGATCTTCAGGATAGCCACAGGTACATCTGCTTTCCTTTTCTATTTATCTCTTCAGTCTCCATGATCTTATCATTGCTAGCAAGTTTCTTCATGATGGAGGCCATAAAGCTCCTGCACTTGTCGCTTAGAAAAGTTATGTTCTTCCTGAAACTTGAGAAAAATGTCAAAATTGAATATAATTTAAAGGTACCTGATTTAATCATTTTTAATCACCAAATATATCGAATACTCAATATATAGACAGAAGAATGGTGAATAATGATGGAGAAAGAATTTTCATTAATTGCAATTATTTATTATATTCTTTTTATGTTCAGATCGAAAGATTCATTCATAAATATGGCAGCTGGAGCAAATGAAGAGGTAATAATAATCTTCAATTACCCTGTTTTATACCAAGTTGTAGCATTCTCCTTAGATCTAACTCAGTGTTCTGTTCTATTTCTCCCTTTCCAGAATCACATAGGGCACGATGAAAGAAAACCTCTACTTCCCACCTAGAGTGTAGTCAAATATGATAACCTTAGAAAGGTATGGCACTATAAAAACATACATTTTCTAATTGTTGTACTCCAGGTGCTGAAGTTATTTGCCATAAATTTTATTTCAGGAATTTTCCGGGAAGAAATTCTTTTGGCAGGACTTATTGTACTATAAAGGAGATAAGTCAGTTGTCAGAATTACAAATAAAAAGGGCAATTTCAGAAATTATTTTACAGAGTTGAGATCTTTTCCTAGTTGGTACTCCAAGTTTTCCTTCATGCAGATACCTCAGTCAACCGGCCGCCGGAGGCTTAGATATAGAGATATAGTAAGAAAGGGTAATTGGATACCTGGTTCATGATTTATAGCCTGGCATTTAGTAATGTCAATGTTCAACATGTATTTTTTATTATCTTAGAACCCTTTTTCCCCCTAAATGTCTTTTTTCTTTTTGATTATCTTTATAGGTTTGGGGCTCAAATCATGATGTGAGGATACAGTAAAAAGAAAATGAAAGAGAAATGCCTTTTTTTTTTCTTTATACAAAGATATTTAAATGTATTGATTATACATATAAAAATTTTAATGGTCCAATTGGAAAGGAAAAGTTTTATTTTTCAAGCAATAGGGCTTCTTTTATCATATTTTCCCCTCATTTGGCTTGAATGAAACAACTACTTTGTAGAACAGGTGCAAAATTAAACAATGTGGATTCCACATGCCAGACCTCTTGGATTGGATGACTATCTGAATCACTACTAAGAGATTGGTTGGTATAAATTTTTCATGTTTGGTTTCAAGGAAAATTTTGAAATTTTACATCTAGTTTTGTAGTTGGTTATATTTAGATTAAATTTTTTAATGAAATTTATTTTTTACTTATAAATAAAATGAATTTCACATGAATTTACTTTAAATATTATAAGCATTATCTAGTTAAGTACTAGTAATTTATAGTTCAATTTTGCAAGAATTTAGTTTAATAAGTCAAACCGAATTAGTCTAATTTAATCTAATTTGATTTTTAGCATATTCAATTCGATTTTGGTTTGATGGAAATTTTCTTCAATTTAATTCAATTTTTAATAACATAAAAATAAACCCAAAAATCTATTAAATCAAATCAAATTGATCTAACGAAATAAATTCAATTTTATTTTATTTGATCTAATAAATTGATTTGAATCAATTTCTATTTAGAAAAATTTCCATATTAGTATTAATAAAATAATTAATTTTATGCTCAGCAATTTATTTTAAAAGATATATATATTTGCTAATAAATTAAAAACGATCACATAAAACCTAAAAAATTAATTAAATTAATAATTCATTGTTTTCGATATTTGATTGATATACATAAAAATTCTTTAATTTAATTAGGAATCATTACAAGGAATGATTATAATTAATTAAATCACTATTATTAGAGAAAATTCTGACTTTCTTCTGCTTCTCATAAAAAATGAAAACTCAAAAACTAAAAGACCTTAACTAACAAAAAAAAAAACTAAAAGACCTTAACTTTGTTACCGAGTCAACTCGTCCTAGCTGGAGACAGAGCCCCGCCTCTCTATTGGCCAAATTCCGTCACTAGACTGTTAATGAAACAAGCTATTCTCTTCACATTAATTTAATTTAAACGATAAATACTATAAATAAGAAAGAAAGAATAATTTTCCTTCTAACAGAAGAAGTTAGTAACTGACATTCATTTCTCTTCTTTCTGCTATTCGCTTGTTTCGTCTTCTTCTCTACGCATATCTCTAACGCATGCGTCGCAGGTCCTCTCTCTCATCTAGTTCTGTTTGGTCGATGAGAAAATATTACTAGCATAATACATGGAAGAAACTTAGAGCTCAGTTTTTCTCGCTATCAAATTAGAGCTTTCGATTTAATCTCTCTGTTACTTTTCTGCTTTTTAACCGGCTAAACTGCTTATTTTGATTCATTTTTTTTTTCATAGATCATTTTAGAAGGATTTCAATCGAAGAATTCAAGCTTTGGTTTCTCCAGATTTTGTCTTAGGTAAAACCGCGAATTGCAGTGTTTACGGATCTTGTAAGATCCGATTCTTTTTTTCCAAACCCTAACTAGAAACGCTATCTTGCTTAGCTGATTTTCAATCTGATATGCTTTTTTTTCGTTGTTTTTTTCGCTGCTGGTGCTGTTTTTGTGTTGCAGTGGACGTGGTAAAGTACTTGAATCAACATCACCATGGTTTCCTTTGAAATGAATGACCGCAAGAGTGAGTGAACTTTGATCTTATAGCTTTGCACATTATTTGTGTGTATTTACATATTTGATGAGCAGTTTTCAGTTGAAGATATTTTGAGAGAGACAGGGAGAGGAGGTGAAGTTGGTGGTAGATTGAGAGAGATAAAGTTCTTAATTAATAGATTCTTTTTAGAGAGATAGGTGTATAGTAATTGAGAAACTCTTGTTAAGTTGATATGTATTTTGTAAAGAAACCTTATATTCCTTCAGGGATCTAGATAATTTCCATACTATCCTCATTTAATCCCTCTTAAATAATCATTATCAGTTTCCCCATTACAATTAATAGATTGTAAGAGCTCTGAGCATTTTGAGAGGCCCGAACCATGAATCAGATTATGTCTAGATCCTTGAAAAATGCTAGCTTAAGAGGTGTTGAAATTTGGACTTCAGGGATCTAGATAATTTCCATACTATCCTCATTTAATCCCTGCTTTTAAATAATCCATATCATTATCAGTTTCCCCATTACAATTAATAGATTGTAAGAGCTCTGAGCATTTTGAGAGGCCCGAACCATGAATCAGATTATGTCTAGATCCTTGAAAAATGCTAGCTTAAGAGGTGTTGAAATTTGGACTCTTGAGGTGTTGAAGCCATTTAGATACAGTCAAAGTATTTCTGTCATATGGAGTATAAATCATGGTATATTCAAGTAGTAATTGTATAATCAATAAAACTATTTTTGGCTAGCTCTCGAGGCTCATGAGTGATGACTAATTGCTTTTTGTGGACTGTTGTTATTGGTGATCATTAACCCTTAATTGGTGCTTCCAACACAAATTAGCATATGAATAGGGAGAAAAAGAATTAAGTCCATTATATTCATCTCTTCTTTATTCTTTTACATTCTAACTTTTGCAATTGTGAAATAAAACAGAGATTGGGCTAGGATTGACAGGATTTGGCATATTTTTCTCGTTCCTGGGCATTATTTTCTTCTTTGACAAGTTTTCTTCTTTGAAAGGGATTACTTGCCATGGGAAATGTAAGTGTCTCCTATGAATATCCTATGTAATACAATTATGCATTCATTTAAATGAAATCTTATTTCTTGTGGTGCATGGTTCAGATCCTCTTCATCTCAGGAGTGAGTCTACCATGACCAAAGTCCACCAATGCAATTCTTTCATGAAACCGTTCAAATTTTTTAAAGGTAATTTTCTATCACTTTTTTTCCCTCCAGTTAGTGCTTGCACACACTGATGTGATACCGACGAGTGACGTGCGAGACTATTGTTATTGCTGGCAGTGCGTGGAGTGTTATTGTGTGACTCTTTATTATTGGAGTAAGATTGCGGAGCATGAGATCGCATAGCGCCAGGAGTCGATTGTGCGTCGTTGAGATAAGTTTTGGTTGTCCATAGGGATGGCCAGTTATTGGCATGATCTTGGACAGGCATATGGATGTTCAATACATACACTGATTTGCAGGCAGTGAAACTCTTTTTATCTCATGGGTCTGGACGGAGCATTGCAAAACCTACGTGCATGGTCATTAGATCTGATGAGAACTTTGGTGGCAGTTGGCTTCTGGACTACATTGGCAGTTCTTTCTGCAAGAGGATCCCCCCCCCTATTCTTGGCTGGGTTGTTCCCCAACAACCATTTGTTTCGATGATCACCGGATATGGGTTGCTTCTCCCTTTAGAACTCAAATGCTATCCTTTGTTCGGCCTTCTTTAAAGTGCTCATGTTATTTTCATTGTTTCTTAGGTTTTTGTGTACTATAACAACTAGTAACCTAGTTAAAGGTTTGTTCTAGAGATCTGATTGAAAACCTTAGTATCGCACGCAGCAATACTACAACAAGTCGCATGAGAGTGTCGCTCAAACTAGTTAGGGTCGGTTATATAGGGCAGATGCACTTGCTAGGTTTATAAAAATAGAGAGAGATGAAAGAGAAAACACATGCAAAGCAAAGGCAATATATTGAAAAAGAATTTGTAATCACTAAATTTGCGGAGAAAAGAAATGCAGAGATTTAAAAAAAAAAAAAAAAAAAGTGATACAAGCGCAAAAGGAAAAAAGAAAAGGGTCTATGCCAACGCTAGATTAGATTGTACTATATAGGAAATAATTCTCGCTGTAAGTTTCGATTTGTCCTTTAGCTGTTCATGCCAACCCTAGATTAGATTGCTATAGATATCTTTAGTTTCGATTCTGTCCTTTACTTCTGTTCATTGCTAAATCTTCATCAATCCCCAAAATTGTAGATCCTTCCTCACCACTTCCCTACAAGTAAATCTAGGTCTACCTCTTCTGGTTTAGCCCCCTCTACCACCAAAGTATTACACTTACGAATCAGGGCACCTAGGGATCTCCATAAAACATGGCCAAGCCATCTTCTTCTGTTGAACAAATAGATTGTACAATACAAAAGACTACTGTTCATGCTGTTGCATAGTATTTTTTTGTATACAAAGGAAGAGTGCTGTTGTGTTATCATAAAAATATTTAACTGAAAAATGTTCATGTTGTTGAAAGGTAATACAGACACTCACATTTTTAGAGTAGCGGTCAAGGTGGTTCTACTTGGTTTTTGAATGATCAAAACTGTACTTGATCGGAATATTCAGTTTTTGCTTTCCGTTTCCGTTATAAACTGAGTGAAATTGGAACTTGCTAATTTTGATGAGATTAGTGCACAGTTTTACTTGTCTTTTAAAGTTCTTTTTATACATTGGATTATCATCTAGGAAGTGCACAAAGATGTTGAAGGAAAGGTCAGTCTTGACTGTGGAGCTAAAAATTGGTCAAGGCTCGAATCAAAGTTAGTGATATAGTTCAAAACTTAGTTGAAACATTTATGAGCATGTGCTCATACGCATGCAATTGTGTTATTTATATTTATAGAGAGACAGAGAGCCTTTTCAAGGATTTTGATATAAATAAAACACTTCCATGATTAGTATTTTCCAATGAAGAGTAACATTGTTGTTAATTGTTGTTGAAAGGGGAATACTTGATTGATTTATTTCCATGTCTAAGTTTTTGTATGCTATTAATTTAAAGCTTGAACTAGTTTCTTATATTTTTAATCCTGAAATTTGCAGTTTATGGATCGCTACCGAGGCAGAAGAGTTCCTGTGTAGTGCAGAATCAAAAAGAAGTGAAACTAATCTTTTGAATAGGTCCACATGTAAGTCCTGTAAAAGAATACTATCTGGCTCCCCTAACTCCACATCTAAAGTTTTTTTGGTTTAGGGATGGGTAGGTGTGCAATTCTGGGATTGCAAGGAAGTGCAACTAAGCTGCAGATAGGTCCATTTCTAATTCCCTGTAAAAAGTATTTCTAGATTTTTTTTTTTTTTTTTTTTTTTTTATATATATATATATATATAAGTCCATTTCTAATTCCCTGTAAAAAGTATTGCTAGATTTTTTTTTTTTTTGGATTCTGTTTGCATGACTGTAGAGAGTGCATTTTCATTTGATGATAAGCTTTTTGTCCTTTCCATTAAAGAAGGAAAAGAAAATTATAATTTTCAGTTTATCCATACTATTCTTTTGTTTGTTTCTATTCTCTATCATTGCACAATGGATCTTATGAAATGAATGATTTGTTCTTAAGACACCCTGAGGCTGTCTTTTTTATTTTGTTTTTTATCTTTTAAGTAATGGGGGAAGGGGATTTGAATTTGGACATGCCCAAGTCTTATATGTACTATTGGTTGTTCTGAGGCTGCAATGGTGAATTTTTGTTTTTATGAGCAAGAGCTAAACATTGAAATTTCATTTTAATAAATATTTATTTATAATTTACATATTCAGATAATTAAGTTATAATTGTATGCGTAGATAATTAAGTTGTTGATGTTATGGTATTTAATTAGATTTCCCAAATCGAACATAAACCTAATAATAATAATAATAAATGGACTATTGGTAAGTTATGCATTCTACTCTCAGAGTATTTCTTATTAGTAATGATGCGAGAACTAACCCAACTAAGTCTTTTTGATCGGAAATTGCAAGTTGTTGGGAAACTTTAAATTTTTTTTTTTTTTTTGTTTTTTTTTTTTTTTTTTTTTTGGCATTTATTTAAAACTTGAATTAAAAAATAAAATTGATTAAATATTAAGTGAAAATCACTTTTTATTATTTTCAAGCAGAATAACTGAATTTTCTATTTAACCTATTAAATAAGGACAATAAAAATATTTTCATTACAATACATCATTCTTTAACAATTAATATTCTGCCTAGAATTGAAAATACGACATATGATGTATGAGAAAAATAATTTTAAAAGGAGAACTTGGAGATGAAGAAAAAGACTAACGGCTTTTGGTTAGTATTTTAATCTATGAGTGTACAATTATAAATGAATAAAAGGAGTGACCAATTGAACATACTCAGCTATAAAAAGAGACCTTCGGGCTTGTTAATGGGCATTCTTGAAATAGTAATAATAAATGGCTGAAGAAGTGATCCTTTTGGATTTATTTGCCAGTTCTTTTGGAATGAGAGTGAGAATAGCTTTGGCTGAGAAAGGGATCAAATATGAATACAAGCAAGAAAACATGTTGAATGCAAGAAAACATGTTGAAGTGAGAGCCCCCTTTGCTTCATAAATGGTCCCTGTCCTTATTCAGATGGAAATAATATTTGTGAATCTCTCATCATCCTCTCCATTGATGACACATGGAATCAACACAACCTTCCTTTGTTGCCATCCGATTCTTACCTTTGACCGCAATAAAGGGTTTGGGCTGATTTTCTAGACAAAAAGGTATATTAAGAGCTTAAATTTATTAATAAAGAGTGTATCATATCACTGTCTCGTATGTATTCTCTTTAAAAAAACTCACAGTAGTATGATAATAAAATTTCTCAAAGTTATGCATGTGAAAATATGATGCAGGTATATGATAGTGGCAAGAGGATACTAATGACCAAAGGAGAAGTCAAAGAGGCAGCTAATTTGGAGGTGAACCCTTTGGATTTATGGATATAGCACTAATTTAGCTAATTTGGAGGTGAACCCTTTGGATTTATGGATATAGCACTAATTTCTATTCCTCCTGGTTTGTTTCCTATGCAACCTGTGGAGAATTCAACATAGAAGTTCAAGTCCCAAAGCTTATGAAATGGGTTCAAAGATGCAAAGAGAGAGATAGTGTTTCAAAATCCCTCACTGACCTACTCAAAGTTTATGAATATGTCTTGTAACTAAGGAAAATGGCTGGGGTAGAATAAGAGATTGCTACTCCTATCACTTCTGTTTTTGGATTTAGTTGATGTTTTATATATAATAACCATACCAAATTATGATGTAATTTGTGGGTGATCTTGCAAATCCTCTCTTATCTCTCTTAATGTATCTTCTCTGGTTGTTCACTGGTGAAAAACTTAATTGTAAAAAGCAAAAAAAGCAAACATAACCAAAATGCACAGTAATCCATGCCAAGTAGGCAATATAAGTCTGTAAACGCTACAAATGAAAAAACTAAGAACTAGGAGATAAAGGGGAAAAAGGGAAAGCTTTTTTTTTCATTGTAAAACTCATGTAATAGAAGTGAAAGCAATTTTGGTTACCAGTTTCTTAAATTTTGAAACTCACATTAAAGTTTTTACTGAAAAAAATTAATTCATACCAGTATAGTTCCTTACGGATATTTGGCCTCCCAGACCGTTCTGACTGTGCCAGAACTTGCTTTCAGTTTGATTGAAGCCTCCTTCAGACACTTTTTATTAGCTGCTGGGTTAAAATCTGATCAGTAACTTCACCTTCAGTAACTTCACCTTCAAGGGAAAAGTTCGATGAAAGACATTTTTCGGGCTTGTTTCTGAAATTTCTGCACTGGACTGGAGATTTGGATTGGAGATTCTCTTCCTGCTTGCTACTCATATTCTTTGATCTGTACCTACTTCTTGTTACAACACCTGTACTTCGGGTAAGTTCTTTGTGCATCTGATAAGTCTTTGCCTTCTTATGATTTTTCACAGTTTGATCCACTTCAGAATTTACAGTCACTTGTGGACCTTCACTTTCCAAGTTGGAATGGTACATTGGAGTATGTTGGAATGTGTCTGACAACTTTCCCAGTGTATCATCACAACTAAGATTTTCAGAATCCTCAGCAAGGCGCATAACAAGATCACGTATGCTTGTTGCTGGGAGCTCATCCAAAGATGACAGGTCAAAGATGACAGGTCAGTATTTTGGATTTAAAATCTAGGCACTTTAATCTAGGCACATTTTTTCTACTTGTAGAATCTCTTTTAGCAGATTCTTCCACATAAAATTGAGCAAGGCACCCTTCCCATTCAAATGGAAACCCAATCTGGAAATGATTGCAAACCTGTAGAGATAAACAATTCAATTGGGGCTTGATCTAAAAAGGTTAAATAGGCATAGAAATAGCATATGTAATTTTGCACCTGTAAGTTCAGGACAACCTTATTAGGCATTTATTTGGTTCTAATCTAATTTTGTTTCTTAAACAAATACTAGAAGAACATTCTGAAGCAATAGATTTATACTCAATGAAAACAGGAGAAATTTTACTAGAATCATTATTTGAATTAAATATTTTTATACATTACTCTTAAGACCACAGAGAACAAGGTGAAGACGGAAAAGATATTTTCTCAGGAGAAAAAAGGCACAATACCAGAACTGAAAAGCCACTTTGAAGCGTTCGGCACCTATTTATGAAGCCGTTTATTGCAATTGTGATTCCATCCCTGGTTTCAAGAGTGGTGGCATTGATTCTCCTGGATATTGGTGCAGAGTAAAAGAGTCTTTCTCCTAAGCTTTGATACAAATAAAAGTAAAAGCACAAACCCCAAAAATTCTTTTTGATACAAATAAAAGTAAAAGCACAAACCCCAAAAATTCTTTACAATCTTGAAGAATTATTTGCAATCAGATTAAAGAAGCGATCTAATTTGGAAATGCAAATTCATGAAAAAAAAGAAATTGTAGCAAATTCAAATTCATAAAAAGAAATCATGAAAAAAAAAAGACTATTGGAAATGCAAATTAATCACAGATTGAGGGGGAAAACTTGAAATTGTAGCAGAAGGCCTCAGCTTGCTTAAAATCCTTATTGGGTTATAGCTTACAGAATTAAATGGCAAGAATATTAAAAGTTTCAATTAAATTTTACTCAAGAAACAAAAAAGGAAGACACTTCTGGCCAACATCCACAAATCTTACTTCAAATTAAACCCAATTCTTCATTTTCGCTTTGGAAACTTTCTAGATTAGATCAGAAATAGATCAGAAATTTTTGCCCATCAATTCTCGACCAGAGAACAACTTAAGTAAAACAATGAAGCAATAAATAAATAAATGAATAAATCATACTCGCTTAAAGCAAACCCAGCAACAGCAATCCCTTTGTTCTCGGACTTAACCAGCCACCAATCGTCCAGTAACACCTGGATAAAACAAAATCAACAACCATCACGAACAATTAACATCGGCTACTACTTCAATAACAGCATAACACATAAAAAGAAGTGAAGTACAAAAATTAAAAAAAAAAAAAAAAAAAAAAAAAAAAGGAAACCGAAATGAGAAGGTTTCAGATTAAAAAAAAAAAAAAAAAAAGGGAAACGAAATGAGAAGGTTCAGATTTTTACAGATTTGAGGGACAAAGAAGAGGCAGGAATGACGGGCTTCTGATCAGATTGAGAACCGCGAAACGACGAGGCTTTTGGGTTTCCACATATGCTAGCTATCTTCTCCATTTTCATTATCTTTACAGAGAAAGAGGAGGGAAAGGTGGTTTTCTCTCTTAAAATATATATATAAAAAGCCAATCAAGATAATTATATTAACTCCATTGTTTCGAGTAGAAATACAATGCGCGGTGTCATTTTTATCAACTTCCCAAAATCAGTGAAACTGCCGGTCAAAGGGTATAATCCGGAAGGTCGTTTAGATCCATTATTTTGTCGTTTTCCTCTCAATTGTTATTATAACTCTAAGAAGACGAAATTTGAACAGCTGTTGTGAGTCCAACGCCTAAGAAAAGGCCCTTGTGCAGTTCGAAAAAGCAAAAAGCTAAAAAAAGAAATAAGAAAAAGAAAAGGCTGAAGTGCCTTTCAAAGACACAAAAAAGAAGGGTAAGCGGATAAGGTTGCCCTACGAGAAAAATAAACACTCAAATCTTATATTCCAAAAAAAATAAATAAATTCTTAGTTTGTGACAAAAATATAACTCGTGGCGTTTTATATAAAACTCAACATCCAAAGCCGTATGTATAAAATATATTAAATTATTATATAATGTGAACCGGGATTGAGCTACACTTTAAAATTTAAAAAGTTAAAATAAATTTTTCAACAATTAGAAAATAATTTTTTAAAAAAAATTATACTAAATTATGAACAAATTTTTAAAAAATTCTAAAGTTTGGAGCCGGTCTCCCCGTTCCTCCGCCCTAAATATAAGTTATTTTATATATACAATGAGCTTTGTACAAAAGTCAATGATTTTTTTTTTGTTTAAATAGTACATATCAATATATTTTGTAATGATAAGAACATTTACGACTGACAATCATCCTTTCACTGTTAGAAAAAAAAACAAATTCCCTTTATTGATATTGTATAACAAGACTATTGCGTAAAAAGTGTTTTTCTTTTTTGGTACCAAGTGGCCGGAAGGTGCCAATTACATCTTAATAATGATAATTCGGTTTAAATTAATAATCCTTTTAGATTTTAAATTATGTTTTTCCGAAAAAATATCAATATTATAAATATTTCCACTCAATAAAAGATTTCCAATGTTGCTGTTTCGTTTATTGATTTAAAAGATGCAACTCAATTGAAAATAATAAAAAAATAATAGTAACACATAAAATTACTTAATTTTAAAATAAACTAAATCCAAATTGATCTATTTATGTTCATCCAACCCAACCTAGTTGCCACTGTTAACTTTTTTATAATTTTATCACTAAAAAAATATTTTGATGTATGGATCTATCCATGTATTAAGTTAATAATTAATTACTTTACGAAAAATTAGGCTTTGAAATTTTTTTAAAAAATAATTAATGAATTTTTCAAATTTTATTCATATATATTCAACACATTAATTATTAATGATATAGATAAAGTGTAATTTAATTAAATTAATAAACTTTTTATTACAATTTATATAAATTAATTGTCTACATTTATATAAATTAATTGATAAATTAATTGTCACCGTGTAAAAACCCTTATTTGTAGAATTTATGTGTGCGCTTGAAAGTGGCGAAACAGATTTGGGTTCAATTTGTTTAAAATTAAAAGTTCGATGGTTAATATAGACAGAAAAAAGTAATCTTTTAGATTTAATTGAACCAATCAAAAACATTTAAGGGTCAATTTGATACTCTTAAGGTTAAAAAAAAAATCTGCAACATCGACATTATCTCTCCTAGCAAAAGTGGCGAGAACAACGAGAAACGATGGTAGTCGGAAAATCAAGTAAGTTCTTTCCTTCATTTCCATGATTTAGTTTTAAGTTTCTGTAACCAAATTATGGATTATAAGAAATTTTCTATATATTTTCTACTAATTCTCAACACAGAAAGCAATTGAGGGGGAGAATATGAGAGAAGAAAGAATTTGGGTTTTTTTTTTTGTTGTTTTAGATTTTTTTAACCAAATTTTTTTTCTCCGACCAGGCCACACCATTTCTACTTTCTTCTGTCTGGGGTCATTTTTTTATTTTAATTTAAATCTTATTTTTTATTTCTAATAAATAATGTTTTGAGAGATCAAACAAATTTTATAATATAATAAATAATGTTTTCTCCATTCTAAAATTCTTGCCTTACTTCTTTTCATTTGTTTAAATTATAGTACTATTTTCCATTTTTTTTAGAATAAAATAATTTTTTATATTATTTTTATTTAATGTGCATTTTTACGAATTAATGTGCATTTTTACGAATAAACTATTGCGTTTTGTATAATATTAACCAATTCCATAACTTAATTTTTTGATTTCTGCATTAAAATTTAAATTTTAAATTGGTTTCATAACGATGATAATGTGTATGAATCAATTAAATTAAAAAAGATTTTTTTCACTTAACATTGTTATTCTACATTAGATTAATGCGTAAATACTTATTATTAAAATTTTAGTTAGATTGTTAATGTTAAAATTTAAATTTTAATAATATGGATTTTTATTTAAAATAAAGAAATAAATTATAATTAAAATCAATAATAACTATATTTTCTTTCATAATAACTATATTTTCTTAATATATATGAAACTCAAACTAAAATAAAATTTGACGTCCAAAATTTTTAACACCAATCAAAATTGTTACAATGGTTTAAAAGTTGTACGGAAATGATATTTTGGATTTTTTTTCCCCCTTTTTCGAGCCAGTTAGCAGTTTAAAATTCTCAATTAACCAACTTGGTTAGCAATTTTCTCAGGAAAACAAGAATTATTATAGAAATGTTGAATTCCAATAATCTAATTTGCATTATTCATAAGCAAACTAATAGACTCGGACTCTTGACTCTATGCAATCACCTGATATAGTTATTGGCCCTGAAGAACCATTGTTGACACCAACATCCTCTTTTTTCTTTTCTTGTGGCACCAAAAGGAATTATTATAGAAATGTTGAATTCCAACAACCAAACCCTAATAATTTAATTTACATTATTCATAAGTAAACTAATAGACTCGGACTCGGAATCTGACTCTATGCAATCACCTAGTATAGTTATTAGCTCTGAAGAACCATTATTGATACCAACATCCTCTTTTTTCTTATCCTGTGGCACCAAAGAAGGTTTTGGAGGCAATTTTAGGTTTTCAAATTCTCCTTCCAGCATCTCTATAACTTCATGCATGGATGGACGATAATCCTCTTAATAACTTCAATGCAAATGGATGGACCGATAAATTTGGGGTTCGCAATTGTATACACCAAAGAAGCTTACTAAAGCCCATCTTCTTTGTCATTGTTAACTTTCCCTCCTCTGAAACATATAATCTCCCAATTCCATGTCCTTTTTCCTTTATTAATTGTTCATAAACCCATGTCGGAAAAATAGACCTTTGGCCTTACATGCCGCGCCAGCAAATGCATTCAAGTGCTTTCTTCTTCCCACCATTTCCATTAACAAAATCCCAAAACTATACACATCAGCTTTATGAGATATACTTCCAATGTTCTTGTAGATTAGTTCTGGAGCCATGTAACCCATTGTTCCCCTCGCTGCTATGAGACACACAATACTCTCATCGGTCGAATATAATTTTGCAAGTCCGAAATCTGAAATTTTTGGCAAGAAATTTTCATTGAGAAGAATGTTATGTGGCTTGATATCAAAATGTAATATTTTTATATGACAGCCTCGGTGAAGATAGTCAATCCCGCGAACCACTCCTAGAGAAATCTCATACATTTTCTCAATGGGTATCAAATTGCTACGTTCTTCCGAAAATATATACTTCTCGAGAGATCCATTAGACATGAAATCATATACGAGAGCACTCATATACGAGAGCACGTTTAGATTTCGCAGCATAAAAACCAACAAGACGAACCACATTAATGTGACGAATGCTCCCAATTGTAGCAACTTCATTGATGAAGTCTCGACCGTTACCTTTGGACATGTTCAACATTTTTACTGCAGCAAAATTACCACTCCGGAGTTTTCCTTTGTATACAGAGCCAAAACCTCCTTCTCCCAGCTTTTCTTTGAAACCGTTTGTTATCTTAACCGTTTGGTTATCTTCTTATTTCTGAGTAATGAGTAATTTCTGAGTAAGAGTATCTAATTGGGAAGAGATTATCATAACTTTGAAGAAACTCTTCAATATTATCATATTTTGATAAATGTCTCCTTTGCCATTTATAAATCCAAAAGGAGAGAAGACCTATTATCCCACATAAGGTTAATGTTGCACGACATACCACTGGAAAAAATTGACAGAACAGTTGTTAGCAATTATTTGATAGTTAAAAACAGTGAAGTTTAGCTTAAATAAGGAGAGGAATTCCCTTACCAAAGAAAGAAATTAAATAAGTAAGCAAACCTGCAAGAAGAAAAAGAACAAAAAAAGTTAAAAGATGTAAAATATGTAGCCATATAAAACTTGACACATTGGCTTAAAAATGTTTGCGCTTTATTCTTGTCATTGTTTAATCGTTGAACATGGAACGATTGGCATTTCACTTCTCAAACTTTCCAATTTCAATATATTTAGAGCTAGCCAGTTAGGAGTAGTCTGGTTGATCTTTTCACTAATATGAACAGTGAAAGATCTTGAATTCAAGTTTTCTTAATCATATGAACTTATTTTCTTTATTATTTGGCTTTTGATTTCATGGAAACGCATGAAAAAGAATTAGATAATGGATTTTGGCAAACCTTTGAAGACTTTTCTAAGTCTTCCAAGCTTGTTCATAAGCTTCTCTTGCATTTGAGTCTCTCACTCACCAAGTAAGTTTAATCCATTTATCTTCATATTCACTCACCAAGTAAGTTTAATCCATTTATCTTCATATCTATGCTTAGATTAGATGTTCTTGCGTCTATGAGCTACATTGAGCTATTTGTTAGAAAACTGAGGATTATGAGATTACGTTGAGCTATTAGATTAAATTACATTTTTTTAAGGATTTTTTTCTTTCTTTCTTTAAGGATTTTTAAGTGTTGGAAACCTTGAATTTGAATAATGAGAAGCTTGACATGATGCCCTAGATTATCATTATAGCCAACCCCTCCAAAAAAAAAAAAAAAAAAAAAAAAAAAAAAAAAAAATATAAATATTCTCACCCAAGACATAATAATCCGCATATCCTTATTGAACCTGGCCTGCATTGACAAACCAAAATGAAAAAAACAATTAGCAAAAGAAAAATGTAATAAAATATATCTTTTTTCTTTTTGTTCTTTTGAATTAAGGGATTAACAAACCGTTATTATATTATTTCTAAATTATTCTTTGAAACAAATAAAATAAATAAATAAAATTAAATTAGAAATAATCTCAAAGTTTGATTATTCTTGTTTTCTATCCAAATATAGCACAATTAAACTTGCAATAGAGTGTAAGCATCCTTACCATTGGGAATTCCGTTAGTATACAGGTCATAAATCAAGTCTGCCAAAATAAAAGAAAGCCCAAGTTAAACAACTAACAGGTGCCCAAGAAAAAATAATTAGAAGAGGCAAAAAAAATTTTCCAACATTCAGAGGTTACAACATCGAAAAACATTATTATTTTAATTTACAGGTAAAAGATAAAATTTTCTATATAAGATAAAATTTTCTATATTTTGTAAGGTAAACTTAAAAAAAAATAAAATAAAATTAGGGAGGTCGCCGCCACAGTTGGCCACCCCTAGTTCCATTATTGATGACCAATCAACACTGCCTATCAATGAAAGCTCTTTCAGAAATGGAACTTACCATTGGCACAATCAAATATGTCTTCTAATTTTTCTGCATCAACACAAAAAGAGTACAAAAAGATTTAATTTTTTGATTGTACATGTCAATTAATGCAAATATGATTATAATAAAAATGAATTTGATTAAATTACCCTATATATTCAAAACAATTTTTAATTATTACAAAGGCCACCAGCTTCAGGGAGGTGCTATGGATATAATTCAAATGTGTATTTTTGAATTAGTTTGTCTCAATTTAGCTTATTTTAACTATAAAGACTCTTATAGGGTGTGATTTTATTTTATTTTGATTATTTCATTTTTGTAAACTACTGTGCTATAATTTCCATAATAATATTAATAAGGTTCAATTTCCCTTTTAAATTTAAGGGCTAAATCATTAAAAAAAACCACAAATTATGTGGATAGTTTTAATTGTACCCTAAATTTAACTTTATTCTACTAGTATTCTGAACTTTAATTTTAATTACAATAGCATTCTAGTTTCAAATTGTACCCAATATTAAAATAAAAAATAATATTTTATCCATTAGATTGGATATAATTTAATGAAAAAATGTTAGTTTCAAATTATACCCAATATTAAAATAAAAAAATAATTTAATGAAAAAATGTTAGTTTCAAATTATACCCAATATTAAAATAAAAAAAAAAATACTTTTTATTTATTCATATAATATTAACTACAAGTAATGATTCTCCAAAAATAAAATTATGTCATAAGAGATCTAATGTAAGTATAATTTCAATAAATCCTAACAAAAATTCTATGCTTAAAAAATGGTAAAACAAAAACAGAAACTAATACTCTACACTTATAGCTAACTAAATTTTATTATTTTACTTGACTTTTTATGAATTTAGAAAAAAATTCATAGCAATATTAGTTACGGCGCCGTAAATTTTTTATTAACATGACCATATGTCCAACAAAAATAAATGAAATTAGAGTGCTATTGTAACTAAAATTGAAATTCAATCTACTAGAAAAAGAAAGTTAAATTTAGGATACAGTTACAACTACCTACAAAGTTTGTGATTTTTTGAATGATTTAAGCAAATTTGGGTGTTATATATGATTTATCCAAAAATTAATTTTTATGCAATCATTATCCTAATTTTACATCAAATGAGCAAAAAGGTCAATTTTTAACAAAAAAAAAAAATAATAATAATAATTTTGAATTTTGAAAAGGTACACAACTGGAGTTATTTTTAAACTATTATTTTATTAAAAGTAAATAATAAAAATTATTATGTCATTCTTTTTAGCTACAAATTTGGTCTTTGTAGTAATTTGTTGTAAATTTGTGAAAATAATTATATAAAAAATTAATTTATTTATAAGTAATTCAGAGTGCAAATTGAACTTTATGTAATTCAAATTAGAGAGAGATTAATATAAAATTCTCTCAGTATCATCTTTCGTTCTCACTATTCTTGCTACGGGAAACCTTGAAATGTAAAAACACATGTAGAATGTTTCTTACCAACATAACCATCAGTATCTTTCCTACCCAGGTAGCGTACACTCTGAAGCAGGCCTGCGCAGATAAAAAAAAGAAAAGAAAAGAAAAGAAAAGAAAAGGAGGAGGAAGTTGTCACGATGAAATTAAGACGAGGATACGATAAATGGAAAGTAAGTGATGAATGGAAAGTAAGTGATGAGAACTCTGCAGATTATAAATTTATATTGGTATAAAGAGGAGAGAATGACTTACCTAGATTTGGTTTGTGGATCCAGATAAAAAAAATATATATATATTTTTCTAAAAACAAGAATATTTTAATCACTTAATGGAAAAAAAAAAGTTAGTAAATTTCGATTGATATATAGTTTTTTTTTTCTTTTTTAAATTAGTCATTGAAAACATTTTCTATATATAATGGATAATAATGCAAAACAGCTCCTTACAGCTGACATCTTGACGGAGCAGGTTCGTTTCTGTTGCTGTTCCTATTCCTACATAGACAAAGAGAAATATTAGTTTTATATACAAAATGAAAACACAAAATAAAAATTAAAAAGACAAATATCAAATTTTTTTTTTTTCCCCTTTTTCTCTTTGAAACACAAAATAAAAATTGAAATATTACTCATGCACTAGGCAAGACTGGCTTTGAATCCAACTAAAATGTCATGTCAAACCAGAACTGATTTACAATCATAATAACCATTCAAACCCAACTTGAAATGGAGGCCATGGAAACGAAATGTACCGGGACAGTGTTCCGTAGTGTTGGCGAGGTTGCAGCGGTTTTCCTCATAGTTGTCACAGCAAGTCCTAAACCATGAAATCTCAAACCCATATGACATAATGCGGTGAACATCCAGATATGAAATGTCCATCGCTTCTTTTGGCAGAAAAGATGCCATAACTATCTGCTCAACACGGCAAGAATCCACCAAATCCCTCACATAAGTAGAGCGAGAGCGAAGCATTATATACCAATAACCTGAATTATAAGTACGAGGAGAGCGAAGCATTATATACCAATAACCTGAATGTATACATAATTAATTAAATATAATACTGCTTATAATTAACTTATTAGGGCCTTGCTCTTTTGTTAAATGTTAATGGACTAGCCTGCTAAAATTAATAATAATAACCTCACCTGAATAATACGTGCTATTGATGCAAGGATGAGCATCCACATAAAGTGGAGAATCCAGTATTCGATGTTCACAGTTTACCAAAACTATGCTCTTTTTGTATTCATCATAATTCTCGGCTTCTGGCCAAAAATACCGGAAATATGGAGTATCCCAATACTGATTATAGAACTGGTTCAAAGAATGGCGAGGAAAGGAGGAGCAGTTATCCTTTTGGATAAGGGCATCTACTATTCGAATTGTGAAGTTATTGTAATTAATAGACAGAACGTAATATTTAGCTGAATCCAAGTAATTATTTAAGCTGCAAATCCAAGTATGAGTACTTGTAAGGTTGTTTTTTTTCAAAACAAGTTTTGGTGAAGGTTTTGGTTGCCGCAGGTTGTGTTCGGATCAGTGTTAAAGGCGCGAAAAAGGGGTAGCTATGCTTATGGATATTAGCCGCAAGAACTGGTTGCACTAGAGATCAATAAAAATTTACGCGTTTTTGCTTTTTCTACAACAGCAACCATGGAGATGAGGAGTATATTAAGAATTATCAGAAAAACTAGAAAATAGAAGGTATTTGAGTAATCTGCTGGTTTGAGTATCTGCTGATCATTCTGTGAACTGATGAGACAGAGAGAATTGATCATTAAATTTGTGATGCAGGATTACTTTGGTCGTCGCTGGAAACTTCAAAGCGACTTCCAATAAACATTGCACACCACAAGTCTTCCTTTTAAGTCAATGCCCCGTAGATAAAGTCTCAGAATTATGTGGGGTAACACAAAAAAAGCAAGTCTATTGCGAAGTCTACTTCAAGGAAGCTGCGACGAAGCTAAAGGAAGAGGGTCATTAAGGGAAACATATTGGCACTAGTCCATTCTCCATTTATTTTTCTTATTTCCAAGATACAAGCCTTTTAGTATAGGAAATAGAAGCCAAAAACAAAAATGATAGGATACAACTACAAAGCAAACCACATCATGAGATATTGAATTCGCCCTTTTTTGGCTCCATCAACAACTGTGGCAACAATAAACAAATAACATCTCTGGAGTCTGGACCACTGCAATCAGCCTTAAGAACCTGATAATCAAATATATAAGGAACCGAGTAATCAAATTATAAGAAACATCTTCGACAAATAGAACACAGAGGAAACACCTTTCTAACATATGAATCATGAAGACTTTTTTTGAATCATGAAGACTTTTTTACCATGTTGGACACATTCCAGACACTAAAACTCTTGGAAACATCTTAACACTTCAAAAAAGTTTCACTATATTTCTTTAATTTTGGCAACCCTCTGTAAACTGTAGAGGTTAATTCACAATTTAAAATTTTAAGATGGATTTCAATTGCTTCATAAAACCCAACTTTTATTTTTCTGATCATGCAATCAATTAAACTGACACATTACTATATCACGGTGTAATTGAAATTCACAAAAGCAAAATGCAGTACATGGTTTTGAGACTAGATTATTGAAATTAATGTCACGGTGTAATTGAAGTTCTTTAAGCTTCTAAATTACTATATCACTTATAACACTAATCCGAAACCAAGAAAATGTATGAACAGCTTTTTAGTGAATCTTAAGAGCATTAATTGGCAAAATTCTCAAACTGGAAGTTGAGAAAGATTTTTTTTTCCCCAAGGAAAGATGTTCAGAAAGATGGACAGAGGAATAACCCTGTAAACAAGTGTTTCAGGGTCCCTATCACATGCAAAGAAATTCTGAACTTTAGGTTCAGCAAGGAAATTGTATGACAAGATTTTTACTTTTTCATTAGCTAGATCAACACAATTCATTTTAGCAAGAAATATCCAATTTTTCTAATTCATGATAATAAATTTATTTTCCCCCTTCAATGCTTCTCTTTAGATTTTTTTTTTTTATACAACTTTGAGATTGAAACGAATTCTGTGTTAGTTAATTGTTATTCTCATGAAACGAAAATTTCTTGTGTTATGATTAATTGTTATTTCTCACTATTGGAATTTTCTGTAAATTATTTTTATGATATTAGTGGTATTACATATTAATTGTTATTCTCATTAATTTAATTAAATTATTTTAATGACTATTATTAGTCAATCAATTTTGTTTCTTATCTTTGCGGTTTCTTTGCAAAAATATTTTCTTCTTCTTTTCTATTTTGCGTAAAGATATTATTAATAAAATCATTTAAAAAAGACCAAAGAAATTATTGCTGAACAAAATGACAGTCACTTCCAATTTAAACTATTAAATTTTAAATAGTCAAATAAGTCAATCAAAAGTAGAGGTGGGAAATTTTGCAATATATATAGTATTATATATATAAATAGATATATATATAATAATTGTTAATTGTTGTCTAATTAACATTAAAAATTTTTTTGAAAAGCGAAAATTAAAAAAACAAGAAAAGATTCAACGCCCTGAAAATTTATTTATTTTTATTGTCTGAGTACAAAGAAAAATCGGCGATGAATGGAACAAATTCACTGAAACTTTTCACTCCTTACCAAGTAATTGTGAGAAAAACAATCATTGGTTTTAAGGTCAAAAACCAACCACTCCCTAGTTCTACAACAAAAATGCCAGTAAAAATTTGGTCCAAACCAACAAAAAAAGTGGTGCAGGGGATTGTTTAGATGTGTTGTACAGACAGTCTTCCAGTAAAGTGGAACTCAAGACCAAGCACATAAAGTAAACAGCTTCACTTTCTCAGCTTTCAGATTGTCCAAAATACCTGCCAGATATTGTAGCAAGAATGTTCAGCATTATAACCTCATCATCAAGTTCAGACTTCGCAGCTCGCAAGCTGGCACACTTTCGCAGCAGGCTCCGCAGAGCAGCATTAGTATCAGCATGTAATGGAGTATCAACTGCTGCACATAAAGCAAAAAGCCACATACAATCATTTTTCGAAAGCGTGCTCATTGTTTCTGCCAAGCCTATGCATTTCTTCAGCATCAATACTCGCGTAACAGAATCCATTCCTAAAATCGCAGACAATGTAGGGTAGTTGCATGTAGAATCATCACTGACAGAATTTTTAGTAGATAAATTCTGAGAACATGCTGATATTTGGCCGTCTTCAGCATTTGACGAGGATGGCAGATCATTGGCATGATTGACGTCATCGGATATGAGGTTAGTATTTTAATCCATGAGTGTACAATTATAAATGAATAAAAGGAGCGACCAATTGAACATACTCGGCTATAAAAAGAGACCTTCAAGCTTTTTAATGGGCATTCTTGAAATAGTAATGATAAATGGTTGAAGAAGTGATCCTTTTGGATTTATTTTCCAGTTCTTTTGGAATGAAAGTGAGAATAGCTTTGCCTAAGAAAGGGATAAAATATGCATACAAGCAAGAAAACATGTTGAATAAGAGCCTTTTGCTTCATAAAATGGTCCCTGTCCTTATTCACAATGGAAAACCTATTTGTGAATCTCTCATCATCCTCCAATACATTGATGACACATGGAATCAACACAACCCTCCTTTGTTGCCATCCGGTCCTTACCTTTGATCGCAAGCAAGGGTTTGGGCTGATTTTCTAGACAAAAAGGTATATTAAGAGCTTAAATTTATTAATAAAGAGTGTATCATGTCACTGTCTCGTCTGTATTCTCTCTAAAAAAAAAACAGCTCACAGTAGTATGATAATAAAAGTTCTCAGTATTCTCTCTAAAAAAAAATACAGATCCACTATGTAGTATGATAACAAAAGTTTCTCAACAGGTATCACGCATGTGAATAATCATGAGTGCAAGGTGTTATGATAGTGGGCAGAGGATACTAATGACCAAAAGTTAGAAGTCAAAGAGGCAGCTAGAAGGAGATGAATAGACTGCTGTGAACAAATTTCAAGGAAGGAAGGAAGCGAGATTGGGGAACAACGTTTTTACTTTTTGGAGTGAAGAGCTTTGTGAGATTTATGATACTGAGCACTAAATCTTACCACTTCCTACCGTTGTGTTGTTTTTTACTCAAATGCAACCCGGTGGAGAATTTCAACAAAGAAAGTCGGAGTCTCCACCCAAAAGCTTATGAATGAGGTTACAAAGAACGATGTCAAAGAGAGACATTATATGTTGTATTCAAAAATCGCCTCACTGACCTCACTTCAAGATTTAATGAATATGTCTTGCAACGCTAAATACTCTGAATCACTTCTGTTTCTTGGATTTAGTTGAATGTTATTTTTTAAGCTATATATAAAACCATAACCCAAATATAATATGAAATGTAAATCCTTGTAGGCGGGAACTCATCTAAATGCGCTCTTGCTTACGTAATCGTATCTCTGTCTGAGTTTCTTCTGGTCATAAACTAAATTTTAAAAGGCAAAAGCAACCATAACCAAATGCATGGCAGTAATCCCACGGCCAAGTAAGGCATATACACTTCTGGTAAATACGAATTGAGGCCTACAAATGAAACAAATCTCTAAGAACTTAGGAGATAAAGGGGAAAAAAGGAAAGTTTTTTTTATTCATTGTAAACTCAATGTAATATGAAGTGAAGCATTTTGGTTACCATTCTTAATTTCTGGAAACTCACCATTAAAAGTTTCTTACCTGAAAAATTAATTCATACCAAGTATAGTTCTACGGATATTTGGCCTACCAGAACCATTTTGTACTGTGCACAGAAACTTAATCTTTTCAAATGCATTTGAAGCTCCTCAGCACATTACTTTTTATTAGCTGCTGGGTTAAAATCTGGATCAGTAACTTCACCTTCCAAGGAAAAGTCCTCGATGGAAAGACATTTTTCGGGGGCTTGTTTCTGAAAGTTCTGCACTGGAGCTGGAAGATTTGATAGAGATTCTCCTTCCTGCTTGCTACTTCATATTCTTTGATCTGTTACCCTACTTCTTGTTACAAGCACCCTGTACTCTTCGGGTAAGTTTCTCTGATGTTCTATATCTTTTTTCATTCAAGATTTTCTCCACCAATCATCTTTGTGCATCTGATAAAGTATCATGCGTTTGCCTTCTTATGATTTTTCACAGTTTGATCCACTTCAGAATTTGCAGTCACTCATGGACCTTCACTTTCCAAGTTTGAATGGTACATTGGAGTATGTTGGAATGTGTCTGACAACTTTCCCAGTATATCATCACAACTAAGATTTTCAGAATCCTCAGCAAGGCACATAACAAGATCACGTATGCTTGTTGCTGGGAGCTCATCCAAAGTTGACAGTATTTGCATTTAATCTAGGCACATTTTTTCTACTTGTAGAATCTCTTTTAGCAGATTCTTCCACATAAAATTGAGCAAGGCACCCTTCCCAGTCAAATGGAAACCCAATCTGGAAATGATTGCAAACCTGTAGAGATAAACAATTCAATTGGGGCTTGATCTAAAAAGATATGCGGGCTTGATCTAAGAAAGGTTAAACAGGCTTAGAAATAGCAAAGATATCTAATTTTGCCACCTCTAAGTTACGGACAAGGCCTTATTAGGCATTATATTTGGTTCTAAATCTAATAATTTTGTTTCTAACAAATACATAGAAGAACTTTCTGAAGCAATAGATTTATACTGCGATGAAAAAACTAGGTGAAATTTTACTAGAATACATTAGTTTGAAATTAAAATATTTTAATTTACATTACCTTAAGACCACACAGAGAACAAGGATTGAAGGAGGAAAAGATGTATTTTTCTCAGGAAGGAAAAAGGACACACAATAAGCCAGAGATGAAAAAGCCACGGTTGTAAGCGTTCGAGACCTATATTTTATGAAAGCCGTTTAATTGCATTGTGATAATTGCAATTGTGATTCCATCCCTGGTTTCAAGAGTGGTGGCATTGATTCTCCTGGATATTGGTGCAGAGTAAAAGAGTCTTGCTCCTAAGCTTTGATACAAATACAAGTAAAAGAACAAACCCTAAAATTCTTTACAATCTTGAAGAATTATTTGCAATCAGATTAAAGAAGCTAAAATTAAGAGAGGCCATACCAAAATAAGAACCCAAGGTTCAGATAACGTTCACAAGGATCAAAAGGTCCCAAGGTAGGTTGCAAAAACTAGAATTTTAGGCACCAAGAAAGTGACCAACCACTATTTCTATATCTTCTAAGTAGTCTAACATGGATGTTTCCGTTTCTTTCTTTCTTTTCTTTTTCCCTTTTTGCATATACTCTCTGTAATTAGTAAACCATCATTAACTCTCTCGTATAAATTAGTAAAACCACATAATAAAAGAAATACATGAAAGAAAAAAAAAGACCTATTGGAATGCAAATTCATCACTTTTATTGGGGGGGGGGGGGGGGGTGGGGAGTGATGGGCGTGGGGAACTTGAAATTGGTAGCAGACAGGCCTCAGCTGCTTAAAATCCTCTAATTGGGGTTTAGCTTCACAGTAATTAAATGGTAGAATGTTAGGGTGTGGGTGGGGAACTTGAAATTGTAGCAGAAGGCCTCAGCTTGCTTAAAATCCTTATTGGGTTATAGCTTACAGTATTAAATGGTAAGAATATTAAAAGTTTCACTTAAATTTTACGTAAGAAACAAAAAAGGCAGACACTTCTGGCCAACTTCCACAAATCTTACTTCAAATTAAACCCAATTCTTCATTTTGGCTTTAGAAACTTTCTAGATTAGATGAGAAATTTTTGCCCATCAATTCTCGACCAGAGAACAACTTAAGTAAAACAATCAAGCAATAAATAAATAAATAAATCATACTTGCTTAAAGCAAACCCAGCAACAGCAATCCCTTTGTTCTCGGACTTAACCAGCCACCAATCGTCCAGTAACACCTGGGTAAAACAAAATCAATAACCATCACGAACAATTAACATCGGCTACTACTTCAATAACACCATAACAGATAAAAAGAAGTGAAGTACAAAAAAAAGGGGAAACAAAAAGGGAAGGTTCAGATTTTTACAGATTTGAGGGACAAAGAAGAGGCAGGAATGACGGGATTCTGATCAGATTGAGAACCGCGAAACGACGAGGCTTTTGGGTTTCTACATATGCTAGCTATGTTCTCCATTTTCATTACCTTTTCAAGGAAAGAGGAGGGAAAGGTGGTTTTCTCTCTTAAAAATATAATAAAAAAAAAAAAGGCCAATTCCGCCTTTAACCAAATTTTTTTTCTCCTATCCATTTGTTGCCAAAAAAATTTGTTCCGAGCATCCCACACACTCCATGCAACATAAGAGATAGAAGCTAACTTTTCGTGATTGTTTTGCTTCAAGACCTGCAAATAAAGAGATTTAAAAGAAAGGTTAGTAAAAGCTTCCTCCTCCCTACACACCCTCCAAACCTGCAACACCTTTGTGCACAATAATAATGCATGATTAATATCCTCCTCCAACTCACAATAAGGGCATATAGTGTCCACATTCACACCCCGCCTGCTCAATCTCCGTCGAGTAGGTAATAAGTTACGCAAGGTTCTCCAAATGAAATCTCTAATTTTTGGTGCAACATTCAACTTCCAGATACTCCCCCACCCCTCACCTTCTATGCTCTCATCACCCCTTCCCAACACCCTCAAGGCAAGATAATAACAAGATTTAACACTAACACTAAAATTACCCTTCTTAGCAATAATGCCAAATCAGCTCATCGCTCCAAATCTCTTACACTAAAGGGGAATATTCAAGAATAGTGGGTGGATATTCAGCATCAAAAGAAAAAAGAATTAATAATCTTAGCCACATCCCCATTGCCCTTCTCCTCCTCCACCAAAAGATCTTCACCAGGAGTTTTATCAATAAAGCAGGCTATCATCCTCCACAAAAAGACTCCACATGGTAACCAAGCGGTCCCTTCAAAACAGAAATACGCCTACCATGCCAACCCTCCACCTAACTCCATGTTTTTCAAGACCATGGTAGAAGACATTATACCCCTTCAGAACAAACTAGGGTGGATAGTTTGTGCATCAAGCAAATCTCCCGTCACGGAAATATGTTAAGATTTGAAAACTCTAATAAAGGCCAAGTATAGCGAAGTCAAAAGACGCCCACCCTGTTTCGCTAACATAGCCATATTGAAACATATGAGTCCTAAAACCCATGCCCATCGTTTTTACTCCACTCTTGACTTCCAAGCTAACGATGGAGCCTTCTCTCCAACTACCCTTCGAACCCCACCAAAAACTAATTCATCATTTTCCTCAACTCATCACATAGACATAGAGGCAATTCAAAGACACTCCATGCAAAAAGCGCAATGCTTGAATCACGGCATTAATAAGTATCTCTCTCCCCGCTTTGGAAGAAATCTGTTAGACCGCTATTTATATGCTTCCACATTCTTCTTTGGAAAACCAAGAACTATGGCTTTTATTCTTGCCAAATCAGAGAAAGTCCCCAGGTAGACCACCCTCAAGGGGTTAAACACGCCCAGAATATGGCTCAATATCCGGCTTTCACAGTCCATGCAAGTATTCGGACTGAACTGTAATGCCAGGACTCTGAATTTTAGTGACCAGATAGCACTTTCATATGTAGCTAAGATCCCTTTAAATTAGTGCTTCAGTATTGGATGCTTTGAAAGAAGAAAAGTGAGTCATATGCGAAATAAATGGCAGATTTTCTGGGACACCCCCCCTTTGATAACAGCTTTAACCCAGCCATGAAATCTGTACGACACCTTTCCGCTTCTAAGAAGAGTAGTGACAAACCTTCTGCACATAC